AGGGGAGGATGCAGGGGACTTTACGGGTCGAGTTTTGGGGCCTGGGGGCGGACAGATCTCTAATCGAGCCAGCGCAGACAGAGCGGCCGGGTACACTCACAGGTCTGACCCCTGCCTGCGAGGATGCGTTTCGGCTTCGCCATTGTTCTTCTGGCTGGCCTGGGCTGCCTCGTGCAGCCCCTACTGGCCCAGCACACCTATGCCCGACGTAAGCCGACGCACAGCGCTGACGAGCGAGGAAGATCTCTTGCGAACAGGGAAAATCTGCCCATTCTTTTTGCGTGTTTGCGGTTCTGTGGCTGCAGAAGGTGGATCTACCCAGCAAGGTAAGCCACCTTCAAGGCCCTCATGAGGAGGTCTTTATCCCTGACACACTTGTGTGTGCAGGGGACCAGGTGTGGATGTCGTCGTCGTCCACTGGGCAGCAATCGGATGAGCAGCCCACGTAAGCGATGCGCAGTAGAAAGGTGTGGGCCCATCCATAGGTAGCCTTTTTCTCCCCTTGATGCATGCAGCGATTGCTCGGTCATGTTCAAGAAGGTCCATCACCAGCAAAATAAATATGCCGGCAACGCGTTCGAGCATTATTACGATGCATTCTACGTCACTGCCCGGCAGCCCGACGCAGGAGGGAACTTTCATGACGCCAAGGCGTGCCAAAACGACGCCGAGGTCTGTGTGGTCAACACGATAACCCTCGATGCGCACGGTTCCTACGACCCGGCCGATTGGACCACTGGAGGAGGCGGCACGTGCATCGCCAACCCAGCCGTGTCCCAGAAAGGCATCAGAATCACCGACAAGTATTAGAACAGCATACGTGCTACTGGCGGGCTGGTGGCACCCCGCGCATCTCGGGGTCCGAGAACAGATTCTGCACTACCCAGGGGACGGTGAGCATCCATACCCAGCAGGCGCCAAGATACCTGTGTGCTGTGCTGGCTGCCACATATCTCTGGTCGTGTGGCTTCTTCAGCATTTCATCAGGAAGAAACTGCCAGCGGAGGCTGACGTGCATTACACCGGCTACTTGTATACAGTTATCAAATTCATGGACAGGGACATATTCCACACTTTCTATTTTCCAGGTTCGTTGCCTGTCCACACGCAAACACTCACACACACACACACACACACCCCACAGAGAGAGAGGGAGAGACGTCACGTTTATGTGCGTCTGCAATGGCAAATATACCTATCTGTATACTCACATTAATAACAGGGAGTGATTTCCGTTGAGTGCAGGCGCATTCGGCGGGTACGGGGATCTTCTGTGGGATAAGGTGATGAACCGTGTGATGGGCAGCGCTGCTGAAGCATCATTCCTGCAGACCGGTAGGTACGACACAGCCCCGCGCACCCATATGACCGACGTACGCAGCACAGCCAAATTCGAAGCACAAACACACCGAGGGCACACGGATAATGGCAGATCTGTGCATTTGTATGCATTAATTGTGTCTTTTACTGCTCTTCTGTGCGTATGGCTGCAGAGGTGCAGACCGCCATGGAACTCGCTCGCGACGTGCAGGGTCACATCACACGCGCAGACGCACACACGCCCTGCACATATTTGCATATGTGTGTGGATTTCAGGCATGACGTTGTCGACGATAGCGGCTCAGGTGCAGCAGGCCAAGAGCACCATGCAGGCGGCCCTTAACTCCATCACAATGGCCGAACAACAGCTCCAGATCCTGTCGGGTGAGCATCGAGCCGTCAGCTACCACACTACGGACGAATTCATGGATAATGTGTGTCTCTTGTGTGTTCCCTCTCTGGGGATTCTAAGATCGACTCCTATCACCCCGAATAGCATAGACACACCCCCTAAGAGACACTTAAAACATGTAGCAAGAGAGTGAGAGGAAGAGAGCACACGTGTGTACACGCTTCATATATACATCGTTCACATCGGTCAGTCGGTGGTCCATCGGTCGTTTATATATCCACCCCTCACAGAGAGAGAAAGAGAGAGAGAGCGCTCCATTCAATTCGTGCGTTCTTATTTTATTTCAAGCAATTTCATGACGGGTACGGACACCACCGACATGCGTGATGGGCCAGGACAGACACTGACTTCATGTTTCTCTATCTGTACATATGGATGGATACAAAGCGGACCGTCTTTCCAAGCACTCACCCGAGATCCTTCACGCGCGTGGCATCAGCCGCACCTACCTACCCATCTCTCAATTCACCACACACTCACACAGTCTGTCAAGGCCGCCACTCCTTATTGTCCTCTCACAAACAAAACACTCCTCGTGTCCGCCCTACGCTCGGATGGATACACATGACATGGGTGAATGAGTGTTTCACTCGTAGCACACACACACACACTCACACACACACACACACTCGGGCAGGCCAAGAGGTACACACGGACACACGCACACATTGGCCCCTCAAGTCACACACACGTGTGTGTATGTGACACTGCACATATCGTCACCATTGCAATGGCAATGCACTGATGACGCACTGACAATCCCAGCCATCGTAAGCCACTTGACTGTCCATAAAGACATCCCAATCCAACTACATGTCGTCTCGATCTTCTGAGCTCTCTTCTCGCACTCAATTGCTCTGTCTCTTCTTGGCGTGGCGAAAATTGCACACATACTATGAGAATCACTGCGATCACTGCGATGGTGCACAGATGGGAACACGCGATTCGTTTCCAGCCCACCCACTGTAAAATCCGCACTTGTCGATGTTCACCATTGCAGCCGCGCCGGCCGGCCTGTGGATCAGCGGCACAGCTCTGCTTGAGCGATCAGACCTCTGCGAAAAACCAGCGAATTCAGAAAGACACATAGACATGGGCTTCTTTTGCGTGTGCGGTCATTGAAGCGCTCACACACCCGAGATATTCGGCGCTCTGTTTGACCACTCGACGGCGCCCCGGGTCGTTAAAGTCCACATAAATCAAACCAAAGCGTTCGGCATAGCCGTCTTCCCACTCGAAGTTATCGAGCAGTGACCACGCGAGGTACCCGACAAGCGGCACGTCATTGTGTAGGATTGCCTTGGCCATCTCAGTCAAGTAGCCCTCGAAGAAAGCGATCCTGCGCACACAGATACACACACACACAGTGATATCAGTGACACAGATGTCTGTGCGTGTGTACGGCACCTGCTGTAATCGTTGACGAGAGAGGTCACATCGGACGTGTCAGCATCAGACATCCCTGCAGCACACAAAGGAGATGGACAGCCATGGGAGGAGAGACAAAGGCGCTGACTGACCATTTTCGGTGACGACTATTGCCTTGGGGTCCCATCGTGTCTTGATATAGGTGAGTATCCGATTGAATCCCCAGGGCACCACGTAGAGCCATTCAGACCCCGCAAGGGCGCCGATCGGGGCACCATGCTTGATCCTCGTCTCGTCGCTGCCCCCTCCCCTTGTCGAGTCCACATACCTGCACACACACCACACACACATGCACATCGACTTCGCGGGAAATGCATCTGTGTGTCGTCTGTCTGTGTGACGAACGTACACAGACGTGTAGTGGTTCAGCCCGAAAAAATCACTGGAGCCTTTGATCATCGCCTTCTCGGCCTCACTGAAGACGGGCAACTGATCGCCATAGTGAGACTTCACGTTCGGCGGATAGTCGCCTGAACCATATACCTGATCCACACGAAACACCCCACCCACACTCACACTGATGCCTTCCTTGTCTGCGTGTTGCCCTACCGGTTCAGCGAACCACCCCAGCATCAGGTCCCTCTTTTTCTCTGAGAGTTCCTGGTCGGCGGCATTGCTGGGCTCGAGCGGCTCGAACCAATGGCTGCTTAATGCGATTCCGACCTTCGCACCCGGCCGATGAGGGTCGTACCTCTCCTTGAAGACGCCATACGCCTTGAGGGAGGGAGGAACACACACCCAAACAAAACGCAGTCAGTGTGTGTGAGTGTGTGTGCCCTCGTTCTGTCATCCCTCTCTCTGTGTGTATCGCCCCGCCACCCGCCCAGCCACCCACCCACCCTGGCGTGCGCTTTCAGGGCGTTGTGTCCGCACTGCAGCATGCCTGTCTCAGGCCCTTCCGTCCCAGGGGCATCTGAACAGATAGATGCACACACACAACCCTCCACACACCAGATGGCATAGTCCGCCAGTCTCCCTCTTACGCAAGCCGTAATGGTATCCAAGGGCGCAAAACACCCAAGGCTCGTTGAGCTGGACATGCCGATCGATCGATGCGTTGGTATTGGTCACATGCGTCACACACACAACACACACAATGCACACAAACACAACACACGGTCCATCCTTTGGCTGGTCGTGAGTGATTGGCCTGCCTCTTTCTTACGGTGATCCAGTGTTTGACATCGGTGAGCTCCGAGAACATCAGGTCCGCAAACTCGGCAAATGCATTCACGACGTTCTCGTCGCGCCAGTCGTACTGACTGCAGTCGTAGGTACACAGGCACCCAACAGACACACAGAGAGCAGATGCGTGTGAATGTGGCGGAGATGCGGGCGTTGTCGACCCCTCCCTCCCTCCCTCCCTGCCGGCCATAGCCTACTCAGGAAGGTCCCAGTGGTAGAGCGTCACGACTGGCTCGATGTTGTTCCGCAGCAGCTCCTGCGTCAGATCGCGATAAAACTGAATACCTGCATGGACGCGATCCACACACATCAGCCCAGACACACGAAAACACACGTACATAGCTCGTGTCACGTGTCAGGTGGCAGTGCAGTGGCAGTGTGCCGTGCCTTCTGCCTTGGTGTGCGTGCGTGTGCACCACACCCTGTTCATTCCTCAGTTCGCCGTTCATGACCCGTGACCAACTGATGGAATAGCGGAAGTGCGTGAAGCCCAGCTGCTTCATCAGCTGGATGTCCTCCGGGTACTTGTGGTAAAAATCGCAGGCCACATCGCCCTGCAAACATACAGCCATGGAGACAGACAGACAGACAGACAGACACGCCAATCCCAGCAGCTGTGATCGGAACGCCTCCCCGCCAGCTGTAGTGTGTGTACTTAGGCCCGTACATTTTCCATTCCTTTGTTGTGCGTAAATGTGTCCCAGTGGCTCGGGGAACGCCCGCCCTCTTTCCATGCCCCCTCGACCTGCACACACACACACAGACAGACAGACACAGACACAGACACACACAGAGATCCGCACGCCACGCACACACAGTGCTGCTTCCTGGCGTGTGTCCAGCTGTGTCGTGCATTATCATGCCTGGTACGCCGCCGTGGCGGTGCCCCACATGAAGGGCTGGTTGAGGGTGCCGTCGCTCTGCAGCTTCTTGATAGCCCGCGACATCATGTCTGCCGTACCATTGCCCGAGCATTGAGCCGCAACGCGCCCCAGGCAGCCGAGGGCGGCAATCACGGCTGTCGCACACACAGATAGCATCTGCTGGCGGTGGGCTATTTGCGTGGGTAAGCAAGTGAAGCTATGACCATGGTGTAGACTCGCCAGCCGTTGAACCGTTTGACAGCTCGCACAAGTGAGCCTCTTTCATCACGCCCAACGCGGGCGTCGGAGGTCGGTCATTGATCCCTTTTCGTCATTCTGTTTGGGAGATGCCTTGAGAGAGCCCTACAGCGTTGGTTCATTGCCCTTTCCTCGCAGAAGCAGCCTTTCTAATCGCATTGCGAGCGATGAGACCATTCGGGCGGCCTCCCGCAATGCATTCCAATCCTCGCAGCGAGCCAGAGAGTGAACACTCGCCTCGTAAGCCGAATAAGGATTGAACTTCTGAGTCTATGAAGGTGGGTATCATTGTTCTGTCCGTCCACTGACAGCCTCGTCGCTCCCACACAGGCCTGACGCCCCCGGGCCCGTCATGCCTCCCAGCACAGCACAGGGCGGCAACCGGCCGTCGCATGGGCAGTCCTGTCGGCGGGATGTGGCTGCTCCTCTTGACCATGGTGTGAATGTGGGCGTGGACGCTGCCGATGAGATAACGGAATCGCAGGAGGAATTTGAAGATGACGACACACCGGATGCCGGTGGGTACACGTGTGTCGTTGGGTCTGCGTTGGGTGACGCGAGAAGATGCCTGTCTGTGTCGTTCGTTGGTGTGACTGACTGCCTGGCAGGTCCGTTGGGTGTGTCGCTGAAGTTGGAGTACTCTGCGTTGCCTGTGGACCAGTCCATGGCCGTCTTCGTGCTGTGCAAGGTCGCCAAAAAGCCACACACAACCACCGATGACGACCCAGGCGACGACACTAGGGACAAAGTACGTCACACATCTCGTACAAAGGCACACATAACACATACTTTGCTCTCTCATTCCTTCCAGCCATCTCCGGCTGCTGCTGCGGTGGCGGCAGCTGACATTAGCGTTCCTCGTCCTGGTGGTGCTGTGTCGGTGTCTGAGGGTGGCGGCGTGGGTCTCGATCTAGTCACGGTCCTCGACGTATCAGGCTCCATGTCAGGTGCCAAGCTGGGCTCAGTGCAGGACGCGATGCGCTTCGTCATCGGGCAGCTGACAGACAAAGACCGGTAGGTGGAGATGGGCGGAGATGGGGTTGGGGTTGGGGGGGGCGACGTGAGAGTGCCGGCCAATGTGTCTTGTGTTGTGCTGTGTGTGCAGGCTGTGTGTGATATCGTTCTCGAGTGCTGCACGGGTTGAGTTGCCATTCACCCTTATGACGGAGGCCAAGAAGAGCCTCGCCACCACACGCAGTATCAGCATTCCCACGAGACAAACACAGGCCGGCACGTGGTCCGGTCCACACCGACGCTCTCTTCTCTTTGTCTTTCTGTGCTTGTGGCAGTCATGCGCCTCCGAGCTGAGGGCGGCACGTCCATCCGCTCTGGTGTGGAGAGCGCCATTCAGTGTCTGCAGGCGCGCCGGACACACAACCCGATCTGCGCGGCGTTTCTGTTGACGGATGGGAAGGAAAACCTAGGATACCAATACCCTTCAGCCACTCGCCAGCTGGTGCAGTCCTGCTTCGTAGCCAATCGATGTGCGTGAGAGCGTGGGAAGGAAGGGAGGGAGGGAGGGAGGGATGTGACCACTCAGGCACAAGGGCACAAGGAGGGAGTGATTCATTCGGCGTGTGTGTCATCTATCTGTGTTCCTCTGTCGTTGTCTATCCATAGGTGGTGTATATCCGTTCGGCTTTGGCGCCGATCACGATGCGGTGACGCTGGGCGGGTATGCCGAGCTCTGCCACACACCGTTCACATACATCGAAGTGAGTGGGGAGGCAGGGAGCCGGGGGGCGGAGACACACGGATGGATGAAGTGCTGGCCGCTGCTATGGATGCAGTCTCCTTCCGTGATGGGCGAGTCGTTTGCCGCTGCCCTCGGGGCCGCAAAGTTCATCGCATTTCAGGACATCACGCTCGATTTCAAAGTAAGGCAGCACAGGACAAAACACACGCGCAAGAAGCATACGGCCAATGTATGTGTGTGTGTCGATTCTACGTGCGTGGCAGGCCACTGAGGCGGACAATTCGGCGATCAAGGCCTTCCACTCCGACTTCGAGCACCGCCTCACTCCTGGCGGCAAGGCAGGCACTCTGACCCTCCCAGACTGCGCCGCTGACGAGGGGCGACAAATCCTGCTCGAAATGGTAACTAACATGTGCACCACACAGACCACACACATGTATCTGTGTGTGTGTTCAGGAGGTGCCCGAGGTCGCCAGTTCGACCGACACCGAGGAGGCCATCCTGACCCTCTCCGGCCGCTACAAGGACGTCACAGCCCGCAAGATCTTCCACTTCGCGCCACAGACTCTCACCATCCGCCGGGTGTGGGCGCCCCAGCCAGAGGGCGAGCCAGAGGAGGCCGACACTGGCGAGAATGGCGTGCCCGCAGCTGCGGCTGCTGCTGCTGCCGCGGCTGGTGGTGGGGATGGAGGTGAGCGTGAGAGTGCGGGTGCGAAGCGTCTGCTGGCCATGGGGATACGGGCTGATGAGGAGGTGGGCGAGAGAAGGGCCAAGGGGGCATCTGTGGTGTCTCGGAGTGTGTTGCCTGCCTGTGGTGTGGATTGATGCAGGTGTCGATGGCCCGTGCCGAGCGCGTAGCTCAGCAGGCCCTCACCACCGCGTTGCATGACGGTAGGTACACGGCAGCCCACACAAGCCATGTGCGTCATTCAGCGTCGCCATTCTCGTCTGTGTCGGGGTGTGTGTGTGTGTGTGTTAGAGAATGCCGGCCGTGGCCATCTGCTGAACCAGCGCATCGACTCTGCGGTGCGCGTGATGGAGCGGATCAGCCAGTGCTCATCCAACCCAGCGGCGCTGCAGACATACTCAAAGCGATTCCGCCATATATCTTCGCAAATGGTACTGTACGCCACTCAACCCTTTATTGTACGTGCGTGCGTGTGTGTGTGTCCGCTCTGTTTGCCTCATTCGACAGTATCCTGGCCCTGCCTCCAGCAATGCGACGCGCCGGGGCGGCCCGCGGATGGCGCCGATGTCCAGCGCGCCGCTGACTGTGCAGCACCTGACAGCCATGAGCGCACAGAGGTCAGTGACCGCCGCAGGCAGGCAGACAACCATCTCAATGTGTGTGTATGGGTTGTCGGTCTGTGTGTGTGTGTGTGTGTGTGCAATCAGGGCCACACGAGATGGCGGTCTCATTCCAATGATCCCAAGCTCACGCACTTATGCTGAAACGTACAAGACCGTGTCTAGTATGGCCGGGCCCGACAGACACCGTCACGACCGAGCCGGCAATGGGCAGCCCCCAGTCAGCAGCCACACACCACTGCAACACGACGACGACAACAACAACAACAACAGCAGCAACAACAACAATGGTGCTGCATCTGGCAACAACGATTGGGACAGCAGGGACAGCAACCGACGGCCGCCGACCCTTCCTTCCCGGGTCTGGCGTCCTCGCTCATCAGCTGGCCCTGCCCCTGCTGCTGCTGCCCCTGCTGCTGCTGCTGCTGCTGCTTCGGCTTCAGCTGGTGCATCGTCCAAGGACAAGGATGGCGGGGCGGATCGGTAAGTCATTCAAGACAACGAATGACACGATCACCACACACAAGACGACGCAAGCAAGCAGCGTACGTCATGTGTGTGTGTGTGTGTGTGTGTGGGTGTGTGGGTGTTCGGACAGTCGCGATGGCGATGGCGGTGCTGGCCACGAGGTCAATGACGGCAAGAAGCCACCCGCGGAGGAACAGTAGGAAGACATGCAGAGGGATACGGCGAGACGGATGCAGGCAGACAGACAGGAGGAGACAACATCGATGGATCGAACATAGACAGACCCCATCCACAGACAGTTTCTTTTCTGTAGCTAATCAAGTGCACACGACGAGACAGAGACAGACAGACAGACAGACTGCATACATTCACTCCTGGCCAAGTGACCGCTTGGATGTTCTGTACGTATGCGAGCGAGCGGAGCGTGGATGTGTTTCTATCTGTCTGGCTGTCAGGTGAGTCGGGGAGAGAGTCAGGTGACTGCATGGATGGATGGATGGATAGATGGATGGATGGATGCCATGTGATGGTGGATTGGCTGACGTGTGTGACGAGGTCGCGACACAATACGGTCTCAATTCATTCCACAGGACCATTGCTGGCCGATCGTCATGCTATGCTCGCAAGGGCGTGAGGATCAGGGTGATCCCTTCTGATTCGTTCGTCGCGTCAAGATTTCGGGGGTTCAGGGCGTCGGCGTTGCAGATCTGGCTGAGCGTCCGTCAAAGAAGCTCAAGCCAGACGGCACCACACTCACACCCGCCACAGCCATGGCGATGACGCCGGCAGCCAAGCTGTCGGCGCTGCGCGAGGAGATGCGCAAGGCGGGCGTGACCGCATTCGTCGTCCTCACGCAGGACGCCCACAACTCCGAGTACGTCGGCAAGCGGGACATGCGGCGCGCCTGGATCTCGGGCTTCACGGGCTCACAGGGGGTCGCCGTCGTGACTGTCGGAGAGGGAGATGGAGGACAGGGAGACCAGGCAAGCCAAGCCAAGCCAACCACACAAAATTGGCGCGTCATCACCTCATGTCGGGTGTGCTGTGGTGTGTGGTGTGGATGTGTCTGAGTGGTCAGGCGTTGCTGTGGACGGACGGGCGGTACTTCTTGCAGGCCGAGAAGGAGCTGAGCCCCGAGTGGACGTTGATGCGGCAGGGGCTGCAGGAGACCCCCACCATACCCCAGTGGCTGAAGAGAAACGTCGCCGGACAAATCGGACTCGGTGACTGACGCCACACACACAAGTGAATGGCCAACACGTAGTACTGTCAGGGATGCGGGCGTTCGTCTGATCTGATCATCAGACCCCTACTGCGTGTCGATCTCCTTCTACACCTCCCTGACGGACGCCCTCGGCGCCACCCGGATCACACTCATCGACCCGCCCAATCTCATCGACCGCATCTGGCCCGACCAGCCTCCCATGGCCTCCAGCCAGTGCTTCGTGCAGCCCTTGCAGTATGCCGGCAAGAGCGTCAAGGACAAGGTGGCCGACGTGCGCAAGAAGATGTCCGAGGAGGGGGAGCTGGTCCACGGCCTCGTCGTGGCCAGACTCGACGAGGTGAATGCGGAAGGAACAAGTGTACTGCTGGAATGGGTTGATTAGGGAGGGGAGGGCATCTCTCTCTCTCTCTCTGCCTGCGAATGCATGTGTGTGTGTGTGTGTAGGTGGCGTGGCTGCTTAATCTGCGAGGTTCCGACATCCCCTACACGCCCGTGTTTTTGGGCTACGTCGTGGTGCCCGTATCCGGTTCAGTGCGGGTGTATGTCAACGGTCAGTCCAGTCCTCTGAAACGAAACACACACATGAAGCACACATACCATACGTGTGTCTAGGCGGAATGAGCAGCGGCTTCCTGTGTGTCTTGTCTGATGTCGTCTGGTCTCTGCAGAGGCCAAGTTGACTGATGAGGTGAAGGCGCATCTGGCCGAGAACGACATCACAGACATACTACCATACGACAACGTGCGCTACGCCAGAGGACGCACCATACGCAGACGCCCTTCATCCTCTGTTTGACAGGTGGTGGAGGACGTCAAGCGGATCAGCCAGATGTTCAGCTACCTCCGGTGCTACCCCAGGCCACGCATGTGGATCGACCCCTCCACCAACGTCGCCCTGCACTCGGTGTGGCCAGCAACACCATCTCCCGCACACACACAAACAGGATGCACACGCAGAGACGTCAAACCAATCCCCCTCTCTCTCTCTCTCTCTCTCTGTGTGTGTGTGTGTGTGTCTGCAGGCCATTCCGCCTGAGGTGCGTCTGATGTCGCACACGCCGATAATGGTGATGAAGGCCGTCAAGACGGGGGCCGAGATAGAGGGCACCAAACACGCACACATACGGGACGGTCAGTTACGACACACACACACACACACACATCCATCCACTCAGATGTGGTGTGCTGTGTGTGTGTGCAGGTGCCGCCAAGTCTCGGTATCTGCACTGGCTGGAGAAGACGATCGTCACGGAGGGCAAAGAGGGACTCGACGAAGTCGACCTCGCTGACAAGTAAATACCCACACACACACACAGCGCCAGGAAGGGAGACCAACGCCGCCCTCCCTCCCTCACAGACACGTATGGCGCCGTGCTGTGCTGTCCCTGATGGGATGGGTCGATTGCAGGCTGCAGGCCTTCCGCAGTGAGATGGCCGACTATGTGGATCTGTCCTTCCCCTCCATATCGGCCGTCGGCAGCAACGGCGCCATCATCCACTACAAACCAGAGAAAAGCGCAGGCTGCAAGAAAATCACACGGTCCGTCACACACACACAGACACACACACACACAGACGATCCGCAATTGCACGAGTCCCCGTGCGTGTGTGTGTGTGTGTGTGTGCAGCAACGAGATGTACCTGATAGACTCAGGTGCGCAGTACCGAGACGGCACGACAGACGTCACACGCACCCTCCACCTCGGCACACCCTCACAGAAACAAAAGGAGTGCTTCACACGGGTCAGTCAGTATGCGCACCTACATCACTGAGACGCTCCACGCCCACACACCCAATTCCTCTCTCTCTCCCCCTGTGTGTCTGTCTGTCAGGTGCTCAAAGGCCACGTAGCAGTGGCGCGCTGCATCTTCCCCGCCACCACGACAGGCACTCAGCTGGACTGCCTGGCCCGGCAGCACCTCTGGGAGGTCGGCCTGGACTACCTCCACGGCACCGGCCATGGCGTGGGGTCCTTCCTCTGTGTGCATGAGGGGCCCATCGGCATCACCACCAAGGGCAACAGCAGGGCGGGCGCGTAAGTGGGTGGTGCCAGAGAGGAGGGGCCAAGGGGCTTCTTACTCTGCTCCTTCACTCACTTGGCGTGTGGTGTGGTGGTATGGTGGGATGGTGTGTGCAGGGTGCCGCTGCAGCCGGGGATGATCGTGTCCAACGAGCCCGGCTACTATGAGGTCAGTCGAATCGCGGGCCTGTGCGATGGACGGATGGATGGATGGAGGTCCCTCCCGTCCGTGTGTGTGTGTGTGTGTTCAGTCCAATGAGTGGGGCATCCGGATTGAGAATTTGGTGACCGTCGTCAAGGCCGAGACCAGGTCGATAAGAGGGCGGAGCATCCATCCGACCACTGCCCACCTTTTCTCTGTCTTTGTCTGACAGGAACAACTTCCCCGACAGTCGTGACTACTACGGCTTTGAGAACCTCACCATGGTTCCCATACAGAAGAAACTCATCGACCTCGACCTGCTCACACGGTCGGCACAGCACTCCCCACTCTCACCGTCCCCCTCTCCCTCGCACAGAGTGTCTGACGTGTTTGTGTAATAATGTGTGTGTGCAGGGACGAGGTGTTGTATCTGAACGACTACCACGATGAGGTGCGTGCCAAGCTGGAGCCGTACGCACAGCGCGACCCCGACTTCCTGGCCTGGCTGCACGAGGCCACCCTGCCGCTGCCCGTCCCGCCCCTGCAGACGGCCGCACCAGACAGACCACCGCCCACTTCCATGTACCAGTAGACAGACAAACAAAGGGGATGGTTTGTGTGTGTGTGTATGTGTTTGCGCGTCGGTGGGTGTATGTTTCTGTCGATGTGTGCCTAGAGAGGCTTGTAGCATGATGGATCAACGAAGGGCACTGCGTTGGGTTGCTGGCTGCTGTTTTTCTTTTGCGTGGGGTGAGACGGGAATGCAAAATGGGGTAGACAGACAGATCGATCATGACGTTGTGCAAGAGAAGCGCTGTGCGGCCTCCTCTTGTTGTGGTGATGGCGTCACCACTTGCCTCCATACGTAAAGGGCATACAAACGAGCTTTTGCACGCCCTTTACGTGAGGAGGGCGCGGCTGACGCAACACCGCTGGACGAGAGGAGACGAGGGCCATGTCGACCGACTTGCCTGCCTGCAACACGATGTGTGTATGAACTGAGGTGTTCGCTGACTGGCGACCAGAACAGATAGCAGCAGTGAGCGTATCTGCGACTTTAATGATGCATAGTACATGGATCAACTACACGCCGTCACACAGTCAGTCAGGTTTTGGTCTTGATATACTCTCTGATAAGGTCTCTCACCACTTCAGGGTTCGTCAGCGAGCTGACCTCCAGCTTGCCGCGCACCGACGCGCTATACACATCCATTATCGACTGCACACAACCACCACACACATCCGAACATATCAGAAGACACACTGAATGAGACACATGAGACGCCGAGCGGCCCACTCAGGTGACCTACCCTACCTGAGGGGTGAGCTGCAGGTAGTGGGCACTCAGTGCGGCGATGCAGTTGCGGACACGGCAGATGGCCTGCCGCTGAGGCGGCGACACCGCCTGCATACACACAGCCACACCGCATAACCATCACTCAATGGACACCAGCTCACACAGTGACATCTGTGCCGTGGTGTTGTCTTGTGTTGTTTCGTTCACCTGGTAAGTGACCTCCCCAAGGGCGTAGTTGATGGTGTCTCGGGCCGACTCACGCTGGGGCAGGCCAACCCAGATGTACCTGAAAGACACACCATACACACACACTCGTGCACCTTATACGACCCTAAGAGGCCCTCTGGGCAGGCAGGACTTACCCGTTGTTTCCGAGCACGACGCCAACGGGCGGTTCGCAGGGTAGGTTGACCATGTGCGAGGCCTGACGGCGGACCTACGGCACACGGACACACAGACAGACAGACAGACAGATGGATGGATGGATGGCATGCAGTAGGCGCACAAACGGCCATACCAGCTGCGGCGGCACTTGCACGAGGCATCCATTCTCCAGCTGCAGTCAATGCAATGGAGACCGGTCCAGGCGGCTGTGTGTCTGTCTGTGTGTGTCTCTGACATGAGGTGGCCTGACCTTGCCGTACTTGGCGCTTCTGGTGTGCAGGAGGATCAGCCCGTCGCTCTGCACACGCTGCACCTCAGTCTGCGGCATCAAATCACACAGAGGTCAACTCCTGCCTGGCTGCCTAGGTGCCTGGGTGCGTACGGGTGTGCGGAGGTTCCGTACCGAGAGTATGTCGCCTTCTGCGAGGAAGCGCCTCATCTCCTTCTCATCCTCCTCTGTCCGACGACGCTAAACACACACATAGGTGAATATGGCTGATGGACTCGACTCGCTCGTATGTTACGCGGCTGACCTGTACAGATCCCGGGAGGTTGATGGCTGCGAGGTGCAGCTGCGCCCTCTGGCTGGAGCACACCTCCACGTACCAACGACCGTTGCCGATCTGTCGATCGACGGAATATACACACACACACACACACACACAGGTGTGTGTGTCTGTGTGTATGTGTGTGTGTGTCGGTGGTGGGCGTGCGAGCACCTTACCTCGTCCACTCGGCCGACGATGACATCGCCCACCTCGCCCACATACCTGTGCACAGAAATGCGCAGCTGCGTGCGGCAATCCGATGCCTTTTGTCAGTCAGTTCGATCAAAGCAGCACGCCCGGTTGACTGACTGACCTGCTCCTGAGTGGTCGCACATAGATGAGAGCACTGACTTGCTCCACCAGGCCGCACACCGTCGCTATCAGCTGGCCATTCTCCTCCGTAGTGCCGTGACCCCTGCACACCAGACAAACGCACAGGTAAGCCTCGTGTGCTGCTGCTGCTGCCGCAATGCAGTGTTTGCTGACCGCATGTATCCCGAGTGAGTGGGGATGACTTGGCCCGGCATGACCAGCTGCTGCTGCGACGATATGCCGCCCGAAGAATCAAGAGGCGACGGGCCTGTGGTCACAGACAAAACACACAAACATGCAGGAAATGCTGTTGATGATCTGTCCCCCATAGATCGATGCGAGTGCGGTGTGTGTCTGCCAACCTGACCTGATGGCGTCAGGATGGACACATTCATGGCAGCGGCACGCCAGTCCACGGCGCCCTCACGTGATCAGCACCTCGTTGCTGCTCTTCATTCATCGATTAGCTGCGCGTTCGCCGAGCGATTTTTCGCTGCGAGCTGTAAGCTCGGGGTTGGGGAGTGCCTGCTGTGAAAAAGTTGGAGATCTACAAACCGAGCATGCACTCGCTGTTGATCCCATTCGCATGTCGTTCGGCAGCCGAACAAAGGAGGGAAAAAAGAAAACGAATTTTGGCAATGCCTTCCGGTTTCACGCATTTCCTAAACATTCGCTTTTACTGTTTTACGAACACGCCTGCCCGAAGGGCAGGCACTCCACTTGTCAAAAGGAGGCGGAGATTTACCCTCCGCAGGAACAAATCGTAGGCTTCAAAGGAACGCCAGTCCAACCGTTGCAGCTGTTCTCGCAGCTCGTAGGCGCTAGGACATTCGTGAAACTGCTCGGAGATGGAGGGATCCATCTCGGGAAGGGTAACGCTCAACATCAAAGGGAATTACTCCCGAGAGTTCTTTCAGCCTCTCGTACTGTAGAGCCTTGCTCGGTGGATTTTAGAGCTTCAACTCATCCCGGCGCCTCGTACTGTAGGTGGGAGAGGATGCCATTGGACGAAACACAAGGACGCACCCGTGTCCATATGCACCTGTACTCTTTTGTTTGCAGGATGAGACTCATAAATTGTCGTCTGTTGCCCTGGAATCGCCGTCACGATTATGAGCGAGTGCCGCCCGATGCTGCTGATGAATGTGAGATGGTTTCCCTGTCGGTGGCCATCGCTGGCGAAGATCAAACGCTGCCTGCAGACGTCCTGGGCCTGGTGGTGTCCTTCCTCCCTGTCGACGTCGCTGTGATGACTCGGGCGGTCGGCCAGCCATACAGCTCTCAGCTGATTGACGAGGCCTTCCTATGGCGCATCGACAGCTCCCTCGCCCAGCAGCAGCTCACCGGCCTCATTGACGTGGAGAGGGACCGCGGCGTCGACCCCTCGGCCCCTCCGCTGCCGCCATCCCTCTCGCGGCTTGGGTATCTCGCTCGCTGCGCCTACGTCATCGAGCAGGCGGCTGAGTGGCCCACGATGGCCACACTCATCAAGGTCGCAGGTGTCTGCGGTGTGGCTGGCCAGCTGCCGCTGGTGCTGTCGGCTGAGAGTGTGGCGGCCCATCTGCCGAACAAGGCCAGCTTCCACCGGCTTCCGACTGCAATGGCCATCTACAACGCACTGAGCCACACGCCGCCCGACGCCAACGACGGAGCAGCAGGAGAGTTGCAGCTGAGGGAGGTCGACAACAGAGTGAAGGCCTCCTTGTTGATCGTGCCGGCCACTATACTGTCTCGGGTCCTGCTCGCAGCATTCTACGTCATCTGCTTGGCGGCCTTCGCGTGTGTCACTGCCGGGACGACGCTCTTCAACTGTTCGCTCATATCTGAGTGGCTTCTTCGTGACGTGACCAGGGGCAGCATCCTATACTGGGCCATCTCTATCTTCGTGCCCGTGCTAGCACTCACCTTTCTACTCTGCGACTCCTTCGTGGCATCCGTGGGGACCAGAGGAATCGTCCGGCGCGCCCACAAGCATCTGAGGCTCGTCCAGCACTATGGCATCGGTTCGACAACCTTTCGCATCATCGGCGGGGATGAGCTGGTGTGCCTTCGCCCCTTTCTCTGGCGGGCCTATCGCCGCGATGACCCGCCCGTCACGCTGGTCAGCTTGGGTATTATATACCCCTCCTTCAGCTCATTTGCACTCCACGTGCTATTGGAAGGCGCATTCCCTACCACCCTGAGGGTGGTTCTCGAGGGCCAGGTGAACCCGTGGAAGGCCAGAGGCTATCGCTCACTCTATACTGACGGTTCCTTGAGCGGCCACAGCGACGTCCTGGTCATCGACAGGCGATGGACGCCTGTCGATAACAAGGAAAGCCTCTTTGAGATCGTGGATGAAATTTTTCTAAGTCGCCACCGCATGGTGGTCCTATTGCTCGGTGGTGGGTCTGTGGTGGCTTCCGTATCCCTTGGTGGCAGGCACATAATCGTCAGGACCACCGAGGTGGAGGCGGCGGGCGGAGAGGCTGTCGATGAGCGGCTCCCTCTCACCATGGCTGCCGTGAGGCGATTCGGGCTGCAGCACCTTATTGATGGCCAACCGTGATGAGCAAGCTGTTTGTGTCCTTGAAGGGCCGTCCAGTCTGACTTACGTGTCTGTGCATGTTTTGCTGAGTGGGTGGATGTGACTGACGACGATTTGTTTACTTGACGTCTCTCACGATGACCCCTTTTGATTGACGTGCCCCTCTTTCTCTGTGTGGGTGTGGGTGTGTCACGTCAAGAGACCGCGATGGACGAAGAGAACAAGAAGGGTCCAGTGCCCAACGAAGATGCACAGATGCATTCACGTGTGGGCGATTTGTCGATGGGTAATGCATGGATGAGGGGAGGGGAGGGAAGTCGATGGAATGGCAGAAGCAGTGGCTCTCTCCGTGTACTCTGAAATTTGCACAGACAGTTCTGACATGGACGGTCTGTGTGAGTGATGGTTGTGCGCACGACGCTCGAGAGAAGGAGCAATATATATATGAGAGAGAGAGAGAGAGAGCCCTGCCGGCCTGGCTGCTTGTAGATTAGAGCCAGCCAAGTCAGACTGGCTGCTCGAGACGAGACACACGACGAGAAATCCATACGACGTGATGGAACGGACAAGAGATGGAATGGAATGACAGTCCTACATACATCCATCCACTTGCGGCGATGATCGAATGGATTCACACAACCGTATACGTATGTGTACGAATCCATTCAAGCGATCCATCGATCCACACGTCAAGCGTCAAGCGTCAAGCCACGTTGGCCCACCGAGCAGTATACCGATGATCATCAACACGACCGCACACATTTGTTTGCATCAGGCAACACACTTAAAGAGAGATAGCTATAGTATGGATCGGATGCAGTAAGGCAGTATATCTGGACATCGATCATATGTATATGTATGTGTGTACAGACAGACGTACAAATACAGACATACATACATATACAGACAGAGACACATAAGGAAGATCGAAGAGACAGCACACCCCGCCGTCATACACACACACGCACATCCACCCACCGCATCACATGTGTGTGCCCGCCTTGGCGACCGAGTGGCCGCGCACAACAGGACGACACACACATGTCTAGACAGGAAGGGGGCCCACCAGCAGGCAAAAATGACTGACTACATGGCAGCAGCCTGTATGTGTGTCTGTGTGTCTGTGTGTCTGTGTGATGATGTGCAAGTGGCTGGGCAACGGGTGGGTGTGAAACACACACCGCTATGCTTGTATGTTCGTGTGTATGGAGCAAGCAATGCATCACAGACGGACGGATGAATGCAGAGGTAATGTGGTGCGGTGCATCGATCGTCATGTGTGTGGATGAACACATAGATGTGTGTACGGACAGACAGAGAGAGAGAGAGAGAGAGATGTCAGTATGTCACCAGCCATCACGTGCAGCACACACCGACAAAAGCACCAATCACCCAGCCGACCGATGCAGTCAGTCATTCAGTACACACAGGGAGATGGCATGGTGAGAGAGAGGCAAAACAGACAGACAGACAGACAGACATGTCAGCCAGCCACTGATAGCTATATACATGGAAGAGTAGCGTGTTGACAGGCAGATGGACAGACACTGCCCAATCGCAAAACCCCACGCTGTGTGTGCACCATTGCAGCCAGCTATGCGGCCGGCAGTGCTCCTCCCAATGTCAATCAACACCGCACAACCTGACGCCCACACGGAAAGACAGACACCGTTGTTTTCGGACATCATCTGCTCGTGTCAGTCGTGTTTGGTGCAGACATGCCTCAGCTGTCTATCGGTCGAAGATCATGGCCGAGATGACGGCCCCCAGCACCGCCCGCGCCAGCCGAGTGGTGTGAGGGAAGCGGTCCTTGAAGGCGCCACCCACACCAGACACAGCCGACTCGGTGGTGAAGACCTCAACATGCACTGCAAAGGAACGACAGGGAGCACATTTCCTCCCCCTAGCTGTGCCGGGCTGGGCTAACCGTTGTCGCCCAGCAGGTGCGTGACGGCGATCCACGCCACGAAGGGGTGGCTGGCACGGGTCAGGACGAGGCGACGCCGAGGGAAGCCGGCAGTGGAGCGGTATGTTGCGGTGGTGGTGCATCCCTCCACTGGTGTGTAGGAGAACTGTGTCAGCAGAGTGTCCAGCCGGTTGTTGTCGACATCTCTGACACACACACATAACATACACTCGTGTGACGTCGGAATGCCCGCAAAGAGTGACGCCCCGCCACACCTGTCGATCATACGGGCAGTGGAGTTAATCTAGTGAGTCCACCAGAAGTGGTTGATGACGATGCTCTTGACAGACGACGACACAGATGAGTAGTCCCAAGGGACAGTCAGCGACCGCCAGCCCAGAGGCGCAAAATAGTCGATCCTGGTGCGGACGGGCGGGTCATGCTGCTGTCGGTGCTGCTGGTAAAGAGGGTGGCTGGGAGGGAGGGGCGGGGGGATATCGATCTCGAAGCCGTCTTCGTCCTTGACGGCCCGCAGTGTGTTGCCATGGTCGAACAGCTGGAAGGTCACGCCGTCGCGGAAGTGGATGTGGGGGCCGACCATCTTGAGCTGAGCCAACACACGGGGAGCGGCCAAATACACCTACGCGCCACACATACAAAAGAGAGAGAGAGAGAGAGAGAGAAGGATGGAGGAGGTCCTCTCTTTGCCCTCCTGCCCCTGTGTGTGTGTATCTTACCGTCTTGTTAGCGATTCTGTTGATATCGTCAGCAGTCAGCCGCACCGGCAGCGTGCAGCGGCCGCACTGCGCTGCCAGCCGCAGTATGTCGGCGACCACGTCCCACGTCTGCTCCTCCACCAGCCACATGGCCGCCAGCAGCACACGTGGCTCAGACACCGTCTGGGCGTCGAAGACCAGCACGGTGTTGAGCCGTGTGCCGTCGGCGAGCCGAATTTGATGCAGCGAGTGGGTGAGTCGGGTGCGGAGGGCATTGGGAGGGAAGTCGACGAGGCTGTGGTGGCGGGCCGCCACTCTGAGGCTGCCGACGTCTTTGACCGTGAGCAGCCGAACTCGCGAGTCACCGAAGATGCAGCGGACCGCCTCGCCGTTGATGACGGGCGAGTCCAGGTCGCTGCTCCTGCTGCTGGGCCGAGGCTGAGTCATGGCGGACAAGAGTAACTGCAGACAAAACAAGAAAGAGCACACACACAACCGCTGACAGTGTGGATGGCGCATTCATGAATTGCTTTGCTTGTGAGAAGGCAGCCCACCTACCGATCTGACGCAATGAAGCAACTTAGCCTTTCTCGGGAAAGGAGTGCTGGGTTCATACCCTGCAACCCCAGAAAACCCTATAGATTATCCATTTCATCAATTTCTGCTGTTTTGCTGTTTGGGGTCCCCTTTGTGGCTGGCTTTCCATCGCCAGCACACGAGGAGCGATTTGCCGTGGCTACTGACCAGGTGAGCGCATGGCGCGGGAGGGCTCGAGTCGAGGGCTCACAGGGAGATGGCGACACACGAGCATAGAAATGAGAATTCAGACCGAGAAACGGCGCTTTCACAATACTTTCCGCCGGTCTGATCTGATCTGGCTCTCTCTGTTCTGGATGATTGCAGGCTTGTTCGCCGTTCATGCGGACCATTGATAGCAACAAGTGATCGGCGCCATGGATGTAGCTCAGGTGAATGGCGGACTGACGAACAAGACAAGCCAGCACCTCCCATCCAACGGCTCTTGTGTCATGTTGTGTGCTCTGTGTTGTGTGCTGTGTGCTGTGTTTAGTTGAAAGAGCACGCGGCGCGTGTGGAGCAGGGCCTGGACCAGCTGCGGCAGCTCCACTCGAAGGTATGATATGATTGATGTCCCTGACAGGCCCAACGCCACACTCTCTTTCGCTGTGTTGATGGTTCTTTCCCTTGATCTCTCGGTGGCTGCATCAGGTTGGTGCTCGTCTATCGGAGATCAATCAGCTGGACCCTGCCAATCACCCTGCCGAGGTACACGCAGAGTCCGCAGTGGGCAGCAGGTCATGGCACATGGTTTGGTGCGCTTCGGTCGTAGGCATCGTCCCATGAGTCGCTGCTGGTGCACACTCAGCTGTCCTTTCTGGAGTCCTTTGTCAACGCCGCCCTCACTCAGCTGTCGTCTGTCGAGTCGGGCCTCTCGGGAGCCATGGATGCTCTGGCGGCCGCCCCCACGCCGCCACCAGCCAATAGCTCGGCAGCTGCAGAGACCGACCGACAGCCACAGGTACACATCATGTACTCAAAAGATTCAGACGAGAGCATCGTGTCCAGTCCATCGCATGTGCTGGTCACAGGTGCGGCGACCATCGTATCGTCTGGTGCATCGGAGCAGCATCCCACCTTCCGTCTACGAAGGACCGGTGAGAATGACACCATGATAGCCCTGATACATCAAACCGACCTTAACGTATTAACGCCTTCTCTCTTTGCCCCCAGGCCCGTCGCCGTCTGTCGCGTGATGAGCTCTCCAACGTGTTCGGCCACCTGCAGCCCTGGGAGCTGACGCCCTACCGACAGCGTCTCGGCACGCGCCTCTTCACCCAGTCGGCCGCCAGCTACACCAACCCGGTCATCGACTGTGAGGACGACAAGGCCAGGCGTATGTCGGCGGCCATGCCACTGGCCGTGGCGCAAGAGGTGGGGGCAGAGGGCGACCAACATCAGAGAGATCAAGCACCGCTACCCCGAGGATTGCGAGGTGGATTGGTGTCTGGGGACGTGGAATGCGCTGGTAGAAGGCCACGCCAGCGGCCGAGCGGCCATCGCAGCCAAACAGAAGCGGCGGAAGAGGGAGGGAGGGGAGGAGACAGCTGCGGCAGCTGCTGCTTCGTCAAGGCAAACTGATGACAGCGGCAAGTCGGCTGGTGACGGCACATTGGAGGTGCTGTCGTTCGAGAGCGTCACCCTCGACAACAGCATTCGCATCCCCTCCCCTCCCCCCGGGTCTGCTCTGCCCCCTGCACCCACCGCCCCCATCCACCTCCCGGCACTCAAGACGGTCGACAACATCCCCAGCGATTGCAGGTCTGCTCGCGTGGGCCGCCAGTGGCGCACCCCTGCCGTCACGACGCTCATCGTCGGGACCTATTTGGATCCGTCATGGTTTCACGAGATGGACGGCCTGAAGGCATGGGTTGGCGGCTGTGAGGCTATTGAGGTGCTGGACCTCAAGCATATCTACTTCGCCGCCACGGCCGATCTGCTGAGTGCGCTGCCTGCCGACGGCAAGTCGCTGGCGGCGCTGCACACACTCCGAGGTGTATCTATGGATGAGGTGGATACTGACAGGAGCGGGGTCGACAGGCTGCGTGAGGTGATGGTGGCGAGGGGCGCGAAGCGGTCCATTCGTGAGCTCAAGATCACCGTGAGGGACATGAATGATGATCACGATACTGTGGTGTGGTCGGAGAGCGCTGCCCGCTTCATGTAAGGATGCAGAAAGAGAGAGCATGATGACGGACAGCGCAACACATGTCTGTGCTTCGTGTGCTATCAGTGAGGCCGTTGCGGCTCCCGAGGTAGGCTGGGAGGAGGTCTTCGCACTCACCGACGACGGCACATATGGACGCATTGACGCGGAGCTCCTCTCGCTCAGCAGCAGGAGCGGCACCGCTTCTGCCCAGAAGCTCATCGGCAGCTTCGCCAAGACTGCCGGCACCGTGACTTACGGCGTCGACTTCGCCAAGGTCGACCCTGATGACGATGATGACGAGACCACCCCCGCCGCCATCAGGGACGACGCATTCGCCGCCGCCCACACCCTGGAGCTGCAGCACAAGGCACTGGCCAGCAACGCCAATATTCAGCGCGCAGTGGAGATCGCCTCCAACATGCCCAGCCTGGCGCGTATCGTCGTATCACACTGGTGGGGTGAGACCCTGACCGCACCCCTTGGTCAATTGTGGCGCTTCCTGGAGGGGCTGCAGACGGCGCGGGTGACCAGGGGGCGGGGGGAGAGGAGCCTGTCGTATCTGGGTCTCAGCCTGTCGGCTAACACACCCATCCACCATGACGGCAGCCCCTGTCTGTGGGACCAGGACACCACGAAGCTGCCGCCGATCGAGGAAGTGCATGTTGATGTTGATGTGGGGGGTAAGGAGGGGGGGACGGGAATCAGTGGGAGCTAATCGCCGTGTCGGTGCTCTGTTCGTTTGCTGTTTCAGACAAGTTGGCGGATGACCAGCTCGAGACATTCTACAACCGCGTGATGGACATGGTGACCACATTCAACGAAAAAGTCACAGACAGACAGACAGACAGAGAGACAGACAGACAGACAGATGGCTGCTGGGCAATCTGCTTTGCGCCTCTCTGGTCGGCAGGGCCACAAGAGTACTCAGATCAAGATGACTTTTGGGTCGCCTCGTCGCGTTGAGCAGCCTTTCCTGGCGCAGCTGGTCGGCACCGGTCTGTGCAAGGTCAGCATGCTCGTCAGAACCCTGTCTGTCGAGCGCCGCACACCAGGTGAGAGACAGGCAGACCATCCCCAGCTGGACCCACTCAGACAGCCAGCCAGCCTCACCGACCGATCTATACGCGCGCATCCCCTCCCTGTCTCTCTGTTGTGTGTTGTGTATGTCAGATACGTGAGTGTGGCTGGGGGTGCGGCCGATGTAGCTCGGCTGTGCGGGTGGACGATGGATGGATGGATGGATGGATGGAGGCATGGATGGAATAGATGTGTAGAGCTCACTCATGCATGTGAGTGTCCATGTGGGTGTGTATCTCTGCATGACCCACTTAGTTGATTCGATATGATGACCAGATCGTATCGGCCACGAACCCATCCATTAATCCATCCACCCGTGCGTTCCACTTTTGGCTGCCTGTGTGGGTCTTCTGCCCCCCTTCCTCCCTCCCTCCCCCCCTCCCTCCCTCCCTCCGTCCCTCGCACTCACACAGCCGGGTCACCGACAAAGAGCTGGGCAGACAGGCGAGAGAGGCAGCGGCGGGGATGATCGAGCGAAAGACAAGACTCACTCATCTCATGTGTGCAGCTCTTAGTGGAATGACAGGCGGATGGATCGCCAGGTATGCGTGTTGGCGATGGATGATTTAGGGAGGTCGCGCTGTCTGATTCAGCCGATGGCGGCGTGTGTGTCTGTGTGTGTGTTTGTGATGAATGGTATGACTCGATCAAGACAATCGCCTGCTCATTTTGACTCGGCCTGTGCAGCCACCCAAACTAGCCCCAAACAGAGAGTAACGCCGTGTGTGCACCCGTGTCAGTCTGCTTGATCAAGCATTTGACGTCACACGATACGACGAAAAGCAGATAGGGATGTCCGTGCAGGGAACTTCCAGAGTGTTTCTTATTTGGTTTGTGCGCGAGACTATGTGGTATGCGGTGTGGGCAGCTGTGGGTGCATGTAGGCAAGTGTCTCTGTCTGTCTGTCTTGTGTGTATGGGTGCCGGTGTTCATTCAGTGCCTGACCAAGTGATCGATACCTCTTGGCTGACCTGACTAAGTGTATCGACAGTCATTCGACATTCCCTCCCTGCCAACATCGATTCACACGTCAGCATCAGGCAGCCCCCGTCCGTCCGTCAATCTGTACAGCTAACGAGTCACTCATCAACACACACTCAGACGTTGACGACCGTCGAAAAGTCTCGCAAGCAAGCCCCAGCCCGAGAGCGGCTCGGAAGAGAAGGCAGTACAGAACAAAAGACGGCTCATCCCCAGCAGCGCCACGCCCACTGAAAGATGGGCTGGGATCTTGGTCGCCGGCAGCGACACAGACTCGATGCAGGTGGCAGATGCTGGGAGCGAAGCAAGCAGCCGGCAGATGGACAGAGAGTGAACAATAGGAAAACCCGACGATGTGTGTGCACCATTGCAGCCGCCTATGCGGCCGGCAGTGCTCTTCCCAATGTCAATCGCCACCGCACAACCTGACACACACACGGAAAGATAGACACCGTTGTTAACTTTTCGTCTGTATGGACATCTTCTGCTCGTGTCAGTCGTGTTTGATGCATACCTCAGTCATATGCCTAATCGGTCGACGATCCTGGTTGAGATGACGGCCCCCAGCACCGCCCGCGCTAGCCGAGTGGTCTGAAGGAAGCGGTCCTTGAAGGCACCACGCACACCAGACACAGCCGACTCGGTCGTGTGGATGCGGACATCCCCTGTAAATGAAGGACAGGGGAGGACACCAGTGGACAGTAGATGAGACTATGTGCCTCCTTGGGTTTGTCACCCTCCTCCCCCTCGCTGTGCCGGGCTGGGCTGACCGTCGAAGGGGTTCTCCCAGATCTCAATCCATGCGACGAAGGGGTGGCCGGCGTCGGTGAGCACGAGATACCGACGGTAAGTGTAGCCGGCAGCGAAGTGGTCCGATGCACTTGTAGTGCATCCCTCCACTGGTGTGTGTGGGGACTGTGTAATGATGGTGTGCAGCCGGTGGGTGTCGACATGCCTGACACACACACAAGGCATACACTCGTGTGTGTCGTCACAGTGCCGACACAGAATGATGCGCCGCCTGACCTGTCGATGAGGCCGCCAGTGCTTTTGTGCTGCTGAGTCCGCGAGAAGTGGTTGATGACGGTTGTCTTGACGAACGACGATATGGACGCGTGGTCACGAGCACCCGGGTGCACCCAGCCCGTGTGCGGCGGCCCCGTGGGCGGCGAATATCCAATCCTGCTCCGGACGGGTGGGTCATGTGGCTGTCGGTGCTGCTGGTAGAGGTGGTTGGGACGGAGGGGCGGGTCGATGGTCAGCTCGAAGCCGTCCTCGTCCATGATGGCCCGCACTCTGCCGCCGTGCTGGAACAGCTGGAAGGTCACGGCGTCGCCGAAGTGGATGTGAGGGCTGACCATCTTGAGCTGAGCCAACACACGGGGAAGCGACGCATACACCCGCACGACCACATAGAGAGAGAAGAATGAACAAGGCCCTTTCCTCTGCCCTCCCGCCCCTGTGTGTGCGTCTCACCGTCTTGTTGGCGTGTCTGTTAATGTCGTCAGCAGTCAGCCGCACCGGCAGAATGCAGCGGCCGCAGTGCGCCGCCAGCCGCGATACGTCGACGATCTCGTCCCACTTCTGCTCCTCCACCAGCCACACGGCCGCCAGCAGCACCCGTGGCTCTGACACTGTCTGGGTGTCGAAGGCCAGCACTGTGCTGAGCCGTGAGCCGTCGGCGAGCCGAATTCGATGCAGCGAGTGGGTGAGGCGTGCGCGGAGTGCATTGGGAGGGAAGTCGACGAGGCTGTGGTGGCGGGCCGCCACTCTGAGGCTACCGACGTCCTTGACCTTGAGCAGCCGAACTCGCGAGTCACCGAAGATGCAGCGGACCGCCTCGCCGTTGACGACGGGCGAGTCCAGGTCGCTGCTCCTGCTGCGGGGCCGAGGCTGAGTCATCGCTGACGCAAGAGTAACTGCAGACAGACACAGACAGGAAAGAGCACACACAACCGCTGACAGTGTGGATGACGCATTCATGAAGTGCTTTGCTTGTGGAAGGCAGCCGACATACCGACCTGACGGCTGATTGAATCGGCCGGTCAGGTGTCGTCGAGTCCGGCACATGAATGCGTGACAGATCTCGATGGCATAGCTGCTCTTGCTGATGCCGCTGGGCGAATGGCATCGATGTCGTCGAGGGGCAATTGTCGAGGGGGAGGGCTGAACGGGGCTCAGCCTGCCGAGAGGGGCGGGAGGATGACACGCTGAGATCTCATCAGAAGAGGAAGGACACCATTGGTGTGCGAGCTCGCAGATCGGAAAGGGGAGGGAGGGGAGGCGAGCACCCTTGTGCAGCATCGAGGGGCGGCCGAGGCGCCGTATTGTGCTTGCTTCGCCCCAGATCGATGAGTTGACTGAGAAGAATCGTCGCGTCTGTCCATCCTGAGGTGCGCGGAGGGGCAGAGAGAAGGCGAATTCACATCGGTGCCGCACTCATGTGCTGTGTGTGTTTGTCCGTCAGCGAGGGACGTCATAGAGCCGTGAGCAGTGGTTAATTAGCGGCCTCAGAGGAGGCATTGGAGTTCTCATTGCACCCACTGAATCAGATCAAGAGCCATCATTGTGGACGATAGACAGGTGAGGCGCATCACAGCCTCGCTGGCAATGAATGGCGCATTTCACCAGACGGATGTCGGCCGTGTTTGTGTGCGTTGGGTATTTGTAGCAGGTTGCTTCACCCACCACAATGGTGGCCTCTTCCTCTAATGCTCAGCCCGGTGACGATGCTGGTGGTGAGAGCGATGAGGAGCGGCAGCGTCGGGCTGAGAGGGAAAGACGCTTCTGGGGGAACGCACCTGTGAGCCAACCACACGCACTGAGGGCATCCACTGATGGATACCCACATGTCGCGCCGTGTGCTGTCTGGTTGTGTGCAGCCCGGTATCCTTAGCATCGTCATGGCCTTCCTGCCCATCCATCTGCTCATCCAGCTGCAGCTGCCGCCACTCACATGGCAACACGCGGCCCGCAAACAGCACCACCTCACAATCAGCGCGGCCGACGAAGACCAGCGGTTGTTTTGGCAGAGGACCACCATCGACCTCGTCAGGGAATGGGCCACATACCTCAGACAGCTCACGTCCATCACTCTCCAATACCCTCTCGGCTTCCCTTGTTGGTGTTTCCACGTCTTTGTGGCCATCATCGAGGGCCACATCGCCGGCCGACGGGCAGCCAACCTCAACGGAGGGACGCTGCAGACCATCGCCATCGAGGGAGGCGTTCGGCTGACCGGCCCGGCGAGGCAGAGCATCACACAGACAAATCCTCCCCTCCCCGCCCCTCTCGACCCGCCCCCGACCCTCGACGCACTCGAGACCATCGCCGCCTGACATACGACCATCGGCAGCTGGTCGACCGGGGCTGGCTGATGCCCTCACTCGCCACCGTGCGGCAGGAGGGGTGGCGCCCTGGCAGACTGGGCCAGTACATCGGCTCGTCCCGCTCGTTGCGGCAGGTCGACGGCAGCTTTGACGGTGGGGAGTGGTCGAGTGTGTTTGAGCACATCCCTGTGGCGCCTGCTGGGCGGCAGGGAGGGCCACTCGCCCAGCTGGAGCGCATCGGCACCATCGTGGTCGAAGGTACCAGCGATCCGGCGGGCGTCGAGCGGCTACAGGTGAACACAAAGGGCAGGACAGCAGCGCCCGTGGGGTTGGCTCATGATGTCCCATATTTGTGTGTTGTCGTCTTCAGGAAGTGCTCGTTGCGCGGGGCTGCCGGCGTTCTCTCAAGCAGCTGCACGTCCACTTTTCTGCCCGCTACGCCATCAGCCGCAAGTTGCCCACATTGCTGGCCCTGGACCGACTGGTCACCAAGTGCTGCCGACCGGACGCCCCACTGACGCTCACCACCGCCTCCCATTGGACCTTCGACCTCTCCATCTTCTGCCACCCCGACTTCCCCACCCGCCCCTCACCCCCACTCAAGACCATGATGCAGCAGCTGGCACAGCAGGCCACATCGGTGGAGTACATCTTCACTCAGGACGGCCTCACCGACTCGCACAGCGACCCCAGCCCAGCGGCCATCGATATCGCATCCACACTCTCATTCGACAAGGCCGATGAGGTGGTCGTCGAGAATGCCCCTGGCCTCCATCCCCCGGCCGACACGCCATCGCCCCATCCCGTCGTCATCGCCCACCTGCAGCGGTTCCCCAAAGCCTCAGTTCTGTCTGTCCGCAACCGCCTGGGCGGTGCAGCTGGCCGGCTGTTGGCCGACAAGATGCCCAAGCAGCTGGGGAGGGTGTGCATCGAGAGGGTGTCGGGTGCCGAGGAGAAGGTGGGCGTGTTGACGGCGCTGGGGAGGGAGAGGGAGGTGGGTACGGTGCAGATGGGAGAGGTAGACGTCAACCAGCTGGCCGAGGCGGCTGAAGGATTGCCGACGATCAAGACGCTACGCCTCGATCAGCGTCTTGATCTGACACGTACGCCGACAGAAGAGAGAATTTGTGTCCGTCCGCCCTCACTGCTGCCGTGTGTGTCCCCTCCCCTTCAGTGCCCAATGATGTGGAGGACGCGAGCAGCTTCGTCCGCGCCGGCCTCTCGTCGGTGATCACCCACATCAGGGGCCTGCAGTGTGTGGACCTGTATATCGACAAGACGACAGCTGAGCAGCGTGCTTTCATCGAGGCCTCTTTCCCTGACGGCACCAACATCGAGGGCTTCAGTGTCACGCGCATATTCTACGCGGCCACATATTTGAGAATAACTGCGGCGCGCAATGCCTGAGGTGGGGAACGGCTACTTCTGTGACCGTGTTCATGTCTGACCTCTGTGTGTGTGATGGTGGTGGTGTTTGTCAGGCCGGCCATTGTGTGTGGGGGATCGATCATAGCAGAGAGGCAGTGGGGCCATTCTTAGCTGACGACACTTATGTGCTGCATAGCATAGCTGCGGGCCGTGTGAGTGTGGTGTCTGTGTGGATGACTCTGAGGGGGGCTGACACGTCACACCCACACACACACACACGACTGCCGTAAGTCTTTCGGCGTTTGCTCTCATCAGTGTGTCTGGCTGGCTGACTGTCTGCCGTCTGGCCTTTTCCTCTCCTCAAGTGGCTGAAAGAGGATAGACAGCAGACGGGAGGGGCCGACAGAAGGCAAGGTAAGGCACACACACGCGGTGGGCAAACTGATGTGTCATAGCGGTGGCTGCCGAGCCCCTTGGCGAGCCCAGACAGACAGACAGACAGACAGACAGAGAGGGTGGACGCCTTTGCTGGCTGGGCGTGTTGGATTTTGTGCGTGCGTCTGACGGACGGCTGTGTGGGATGTGTGTGTCCGTATTGCTGAATGCCTGGCTGTTGATTGCAATGAGTGAACGCCTGAAAATGGGAGCCACAATTGGGAGAGAGAGACCCACAGAAATACCGATTGATAGCACAGCTCACTCGCTGCGGTCCACTCACACATACACACACACAGACACTCACACTCACACTCAAGACAGGTCTCCATTCACGCAGACAGCCGATGTGCTGTATATCCAGCGGTATGTCTTCACAGAGCCACCCACCACACACACACATCCATCCATCCATCCACACGCTGCCACGACGTCATTCACGGCACCTGCGGATGTGTTTGTGTGTGCGTGTGGGTCAGCCGTGGGGGCGAAACCATACACCCAAAAACAATTGAACGAGTGGCGCAATGGACGGACGGACGGACGGTGTGTGTATGTGTGAGTGGAAAGAAAGACATGGAAAACACGGCGCTGTCTAAAGCGTCGTCTTGGGAGAAGTCCGTCAGTGAGACTTGCTGTCCACCCTCCACTCAACAACCCCACCGTCGTTCCTCTATCAGACAGTACCCATAGCTGTCTATCGGCCGCACAGGATGGCTGAGATGACGGCCCCCAGCACCGCCCGCGCTAGCCGAGTGGTCTGAGGGAAGCGGTCCCTGAAGGCGCCACCCACACCACACATAGCCGACTCGGTCGTCTTGACCTCAACACTCACTGCACACGAAGGGCAGGAGAGCACAGCGCATCAGAGTGGCGCCGCATTTCCTCCCCCTCGCTGTGCCGGGCTGGGCTGACCGTTGTTAGGCAGCATACATGACGGCAATCCATGCGACGAAGGGGTGGCCGGCGTCGGTGAGGATGAGACGACACCAAGTGTGGCCGGCAAAGCGGAATGATGCGGTGGTGGTGCATCCCTCCACTGGTGTGTGTAGGGACTGCGTCATGAGGGTGTCCAGCCGGCTGTTGTCGACATGCCTGACACACACACCGTACACTCGTGTGTGTCGTGACAGTGCACACGCAAAGCGCCCACACAGCTGAGTGATGCCCCGCCTCACCTGTCGATTTCACGGTGAGTCCCGTTGGTCTCGTGAGACCTCTTGAAGTGGTTGAGGACGATGTTTTTGACGAAGAACGATACAGATGAGTAGTCCCAAGGAACAGTCAGCGACCGCCAGCCCGTAGGCGAGGCATATGTGATGCTGCTGCGGACGGCTGGGTCATGTTGCTGTCGGTGCTGCTGGAAGAAGTCGTTGGCGGGGAGGGGCGGGTCGATGTCGATAGCGAGGTCGATGTCGTCCTTGATGGCCCGCAGTTTGTTGCCGTGGTCGAACAGCTGGAAGGTCACGCCGTTGCCGAAGTGGATGTGGGGGCCGACCATCTTCAGCTGAGCCAACACACGGGGACCGGCCAAATACGCCTGCACACACAACACATCAACACACCACACACCGATTGACAGCCATCCCTTCTCCCTCCCTCGCTCCCTCCCTCCCTCGGTTGGCTTACCGTCTTGTTTGGGTATTGGTGCAGATCGCCCGCAGTGAGGCTCACAGGCAGCTGGCAGTGGCCGCACTGCCCCGCCAGCTCGACCGCCTCGCTCATCTCACTCCAGCCGCCCGCCCCCGTCACACACAGCGCCGCCAGCAGGTCACCCTCGCCCATCTGCTGGTCGTCGAAGGTCAGCAGCTGCTGTCCGTCGGCCGTCCGCCGCAGCCCCGCGGGTGTGCTGACCTCATGGCTGAGCCGCTGCCGCAGCTGAGGCGCTCCGAAGAGGCCTCTGGCCCATCTGCAGGTCTTCCTCAGCCTCAGGATGTCATTGAGGCTGAGAAGGTAGAATGTGCGGCGGCCGACGAAGATGTACTCGATGGGGTGCTGCTGCTGCTGGTCGGGCTGCTGTTGGTTGTGCTGCATTAGTGCTGCATCGCCGTCAGATCTGCTGAGAGAGGCGGACGGGTGAGAGCGCGGAAGCCGGACAGACAGGGCGATGGGCGAAAGCGAGATGCCGGGGAAGCCCTGGAAGAGGACGGCTTCTTGAAGACAAAGAGAGAGCGGTTTCAGGGAGCGAAAGACGCGAGCTTTGCTGGCATGCTTCCGTGTAAAGCAGCAAAGCTGACGCCTCCCAGATGTAGATGCTCCGTGGTGCGTCGCATCTGCCCATCGTGCAGCGGACCTTCCCCTCTGTGTCGCTCATCGCACGGAAGATGAGTTCGTCGGCGTCGGCGTCGGTGACATCGCTGCAGTTCGACAACAGCTGCCTGCGGTGCCTGCCGGTAGACGAGGAGCCCGACAACTACACCAGACAGGTTCATGGCGCCTGCTTCTCCCGGTCGGTGGCGAAAGAGACGAGGGTGGAAACCCCTGTCCGAGGTGTGTCTGGTGTTTGTGCAGGGTGTCGCCCACGCCATGTGACCGCCCTCAGCTGGTGTGTGCGTCGGACAAGGCGCTCGGCCTCATCGACCTCGGACCAGGTCAACCGAAATACACCAAAAGAGGGGCATTGACATACAGCATATGCCGTGTTTGTTTGTTCGTTTGTGCGTCCGTGTGGCCAGGTGAGATCGTTCGTGAGGGTTTTGCTTCGTATTTCAGCGGCAACATGATCATCCCGGGCAGCCAGCCCGCGGCACACTGCTACTGCGGACACCAATTCGGTACCCATACACACAGTGGGTGTGTATCGTCTCAATGTCAACGGATCTATCGCTCCACATGTGTGTGTGTTAGGTCACTTTTCTGGCCAGCTGGGTGACGGCGCGACCATGTACCTGGGGGAGGTGACCAACGCCAAAGGCGATAAGTGGGAGATTCAGTTCAAGGGTGCGCCTGGACAGACAGACAGACACCGGGGCGTCGTATTCACATTCACACACGTGTGTGTGCAGGTGCCGGCAAGACGCCATATTCGCGGTCTGCTGACGGGCGGAAGGTGCTCAGATCATCCATACGAGAGGTGGGTCAGCCCAGTGGCCAACAAAGACCGTGAGATAGCCTAGACAACTCAACTCAACCACGTGTCTGTCTGTCTGTATCTTGCTGGACCAGTTTCTGTGTTCTGAGCACATCAATGCGTTGGGCATTCCCACCACACGAGCCGGCACATGCGTCACGGTAGGTCCGGTCCGGCGGCGGCCCACAGCAGCCAGCCAGCCATACACACAGACGGACACGAGGGAATGTGTGTGTGTGTCTGAGTGTGTCTGTCAGTCCAACAGTCGCGTCGTCCGTGACATCTTCTACAATGGCAATGCCATCCACGAGCGGGCCACCATCATCCTGCGGATGGCCAAGACGTTTATCCGGTAGGCACTCACACACACGCGCGCAGACACAGACAGACAGACATCTGCCATTGTGAGAGCTCTTGCGTCGTTTCGTGGATACGCCCATCCATTGATCAGGTTTGGTTCGTTTGAGATATTCAAGGCGACTGACAGGGTGACCGGCCGGAAGGGGCCCAGCACAGGCCGTGTGGACATCCTGACGGCCCTCGTCAACTTTGTCATCCGGTCCTACTACCCCCACCTGTACACCAAACACTACCCTGGTCAGTGGGCAGCGAACGCATTGCAACGACAGACACCTTCAGAGCTATGTTATGTATGCTGTGTGGTTGGTCATGTGTCTGCCATCTATCCATGTGGTGTGACGTAGATGCCACATCGGCCGCTGCCATCGCTCCGCCCGCATGGGAGGATGCCGCGGCCAGACAGCCGCTCAAAGAGGAGCTGTACCAGGACTTCTTTAAGAAGATCGTCACTAGAACCGCCAAGTGAGCATCCGCACATACCCATCTGATCTGCACACACATGGGTGTCTGTCTGTCTGTCTGTGTGTGTCAGGTTGGTGGCCGAGTGGCAGTGCGTTGGGTGGTGCCACGGGGTGCTCAACACGGACAACATGAGCATCATCGGCGACACCATCGACTACGGCCCCTACGGCTTCATGGAGCGCTACGACCCCAACTACGTCTGCAACGCCAGCGACGACCAGGGAAGATACGCCTACAAGAACCAACCGGACATCTGCAAGTACGTGGCGTGGGCAAGATGAAGACACACGGAGACGTTGCCTGCACACGACACACACACACACACAGGTGGAATTGCGAGAAGTTGGCTGAGGCGCTGAGCCCGCTGCTGGAGCCGGCGGCCGCGCGGGCCATCATCGCTGAGTATGACGGGATATTCAAGCAGCGATACATAGACAGGTGGGTGACTGGGTCAGGCAGGGCATGGGAAAGCCTGAAAACACACACACAGGCATGCTGCATGCACGAGTGTGATGTCTCTCTCTGTAAGGATGCGCGAGAAGCTGGGATTAATTAGGAAGAAGCTGGACGACGACAAGCAGCTCATCGACTCACTGCTCGACACCATGCACCGCACTGGTACCCAGACCTATACAGCACACCGCACACACACACAGGGCGAGAAAGGACCATCTGAATGAATGAATGGATGGATCTGTATGTCTGACTGTGTGTCTAGGTGCCGACTTCACCGTGACGTTCCGGTCGTTGCGTTTGGTGTGCATCAGTCGTGCTGGCGACGAGCGGTTCGCCGCAGCCCTCGATTGCATCTCCGCCAACCTCGCTACTTGCCAAGACATGATACAGGCGTCCAAGTAAGTCATCAATTGCACCGGGCACCACACGGCGATGCTTACGGCTTTCTCTGGTGTGTGTGGTGTGGTGTCTGGTGTCTGGTGTCTGGTGTCTGTCCATTCCATGTCATGGGTGTCAGGCCGTCGATCAGCCCGAACCAGCTGGGGATGTTCATGCAGCTGGCCGAGACGCAGCCGATGGTGCTCGAGGCCCTGGGGCTGTCGGCTGAGCAGCTCCAGAAGTGGCGGGATGAGTACCAGATGTACACCAACATGCAATCGGTACGTACGCAGTCGGCATGGGTATGTTGGGTGCGTCCCAATCCAACTCTGTGTGTGTGTGTGTGTGTGTGCAGTGGACACAGGGAGAGAAGGACGCGCAGGACCGGCGGCTGTGGCACGAGTGGATGAGCAAATACTGCGACAGACTGGTGGGAGAGACAACACACAGACACAGATGTGATCAATGTGCGTGTACGTGTGTCTGTGTCTATTTGGGCATGCAGGCTGCTGACGTGTCGGGTGAAGGCGATGACAATGTGTCGTCGGTCGAGTCGGCGAGGGTGGCGGTCATGGACGCGGCCAACCCCAAGGTGGTCCTACGGAACCACGTAGCTCAGCGGGCCATCGACAAGGCCGAGCAGGGTCAGCAGCACACGGCACTTCACGGACACACACACTCACCGCACGTCTACTCTATGGTGCCTGTCGATGATGTTTTTTTTGAATGCAGGCGACTTCTCAGAGGTCCGTCGGCTGCTAGCCGTGCTCGAGACGCCATTTGACGAATCACACTCTGATGACGGTACGTCCAAACCAAGCTGCGTCCAATCCTTATGCATATCAGTCACTCATGTGTGTGGTGTGATGCAGACGCCCTCCCCCGCCCGCCCGGTTCATCGCCCCTGCTCGTCACATGATCCTCGTAGGCCGCGCCGCCATCCGTCCACGATGGTCGCGCGGCTCGCGGGTACGATGAGCGATCCACCCCATCCACGAGATGGAGTGGCCCTCTCGCCCGCAGAGGAGTGGAAGTGACAATGATGGGGAATGGGTGATCGATCCACTGTGATGTCTGCTGACGGATGACGAGGCCACAGGCAGGTCGCTGTGCGGCACTGGGGCTCTCCGATTGTTGGCGGGCCAGGTGGAAGGGGAGAGAGGGGGAAGGAGGGGACGGGTGTCAGTCATTAGTGTGTGGTGGGTGACGGGGCAGTGAGTGGGTCGGCATTGTGTCAACAGACCGACACTGGCTCCCAAATGGCACGCAATGCATCTTTTGCCTGTGTTTTGCATTGCACGTGTGATACATCGATCGGCCGGATCGGATGAGGTGAGAGTTTTTGACGGCCGATGGCTGGCTTGCTGGCTGGCTGGCCGTCGTGTGTGTAGTGTGTGTAGATGAGGGATGGGATGGCTGACGCACTCAATTGTCTCTCCATCTCCGTGTACAGACAGATGAGATAACGACATCTCTCTCTAATTGACACTGACTGAGCGACGATAGATGAATGGGTTTCTGACACACTCCGGTGTGGTGTGGTGTGCCGAGAGGCGCTTTCAGCTCGTTTCGATTTGGCTCGCTCAAAAAGTCAGTCCATTGTAGGTCCATGGCTATGCGTGCAGTGCATCCACTCAGGCGTTCGTTTCTGTCTGTCAAGGTTGGCCTGCCTGTCTTGGTTAGTTCTCCTGGTCCAGCATGGGCAGCTGCTGCTGTGAGGGCGGCGGCATGGGCGCGTTCTGTGGCTGGGGCATCTGCAGGCCGAGCATCTTGAGCTGCTCCTGGGACAGCCGCACCACGCCCGGCTCGTTGTAGTGCTGCTCGGGGAAGGTCGCCCTGTCCACCTCCTCCCAATCGACGTACCTTTGCTGGGGAGAAGGAGGAGACAGACGCAGATCATGGGAGGTGAGGTGTCTCGTGATGTCTCCCTCCCTGACCGTCACTGAAACCACGCGGGCCACGTAGTGTCCCGTGGCGTACTTCCGCACCAACGGCTCCGTCTCAGCGGCAGCGCCAACCTCCTTTGCAATGCCCTCCTCGCCCGTCTCCCCGCCGACACCGTCCTCCCCTTCCTCGAGATCCTCTACCTGCTTCAAGTTCAAGTTGATCATGCCGTCGTCGTCCTGCACCGGAGCGGGCATCGGGAACGGCATCATGGCAGGCCCTGGGAAGGGCGGCTGCATCATCTGCCCAGGGCCGCCGGGCATCATCGGCTGGGCGTGGGGGTGAGGGTATCCGAACGGCGGCAGCATGGCGGGCGGCGGCGGGCCCATGGGCATCGGGAACGGCTGGTGCGACAGCATGGGACCGAAAGGGCCTGGGCCGTCCATCATCTCACCGTGCATCACTGCAGGAACATGGACAGAAGACAGAGAGACAGACGCGCAGTGCAGAGTAGCACGGTGACGGATTGTGCGCTGATTGGTGTGAGGAATGGAGATGGAGTGGATATGAGGGGGTATATACCTTGCGGATCCATCGTCAACTGCAGGCGCTATATACAACACTCGAACAAGACGGCCCCCCAAGCGCCGAGACTGGGAGACTGTGGCCCCCAAGCAAAGGGGATGATCTTCGGTCGCACTCATGGATTCTTTCTATCTGTCCTACGCAGCGTGTCACACGCGGACTCCCGCACCGCTTCATGCACACGCAGATCCCACCGAAAAGCACGCAGACAATCCGAAGCAAAATGCAGATCCGGCTCACACGTCTCTGTGCAGCAGGCCTGACATCTCAGGCAACACACCCTGCGCCTCTTCGACACCCCCCTCCCCTGCTCCCTCCCCAAATGACAGCCACACCTTCATGGGCACCTTCCCCTGGCCATGTGCGTCGTCGGCCTCGCCAGAGACGTCCAGACCGTGAGGGCTGTCGGTGGGGAGGGGCGGGTCACCGGTCGGCATCGGCGGCACGCACAGAGGGTGTTCGCTGTCCATAACCCAGATAGGGGCCGCGGGTGCTGACTGCTGGGGCAGGATCGTGTACATAAGGTCATCGTCAAGCGGTGTCTCCTCGGCCTGCTCCTCCTTCGCGTCTTTGTTGGATATGCCAGAGAAGGTCTGCCGGCGCAGCTTGAGCGGCGAGATGCCCTTCTGCAAAGAAAAGAGAGACGTGTCTCGTGTCCTTGACACATTCTTCACTGCGGACCTACCTTAATGCCATCGACTGAGGTGCGTTTGCTGCCCTTTCCCTTCTTCTCATGAGCGTTGATGTCGGCCTGTTTGATGAAGTCGACCGTGTGCCGTCTCCTCTTGCCGCGGTGGTCCCTCCTGTTGTTGCCCTTTGGCTTCCTCCGGCCCCCGTCAGTAGTGCGGCTCGACGCCCGTGACTCGTTGTCATCTCCTTTCTTTCGCCTCGCATTTGGGAGACATGGGGTCTCTGGGCTTGACAGCGGCTCTGTGTCGCGGAGAACATTCGGGCTCATCCACCATCCTACATGTTGCAATGGGGAGATATGGCACACATGGGTGTTTGCAAAGTGTGCTTCATCGCCGGACCGATTCGAGATTTAACGAATGTGCGGAGGCCGACGGATCGCTCGGCCGGTGTCGCGCGGGGCTCCTTGGGTTCCATGTGGTCGAGGTCATACTGCTGGGTGATCATTGACCGCCGCCGCATCCTTCGCTTGCCTGCCGCACGCCATGCTTGCGCAGCCATCATTCGGAATTCAGGCTCCAGCTGCAACAAACGTGAGATCCATGACACCCACGATAAAGGGAGGGAGTCATGGGTGATATATGTTGTTCACTTGTTGGTCGCCAAAGAGGTTCATTTCGTCATCGCTGTCTGAACTCTGGTCCACGGCCAGCTTCCTGCACAAAGCGAATCGAGTCATTCGTTGAGTGTGTGCTGCTGACTCGGCTCGGGCTCACTTTGCGGTCTTTGGCTTTCTGCCGGTGCTGCGGAGAGAGGGCGACTTGTTAGCTTCAGAATCAGCAGAATGTGCCAAAGCGCCATCAAGCACTTCTCCTTCCGCTGGCACCTGCCGAAAAGAAGGAAAGACAAACAGTCGCTTGCTCACACAAACGATGTGAATAGATGTTTCTTCGCCCACCCACCTCCTTCATCGGTGTGTGGAAGTCCGCTGTCAGGATGCTCGCAGATGAGCTGGGGAGAGACAACAGAGGTATTTGTCATGATGCACTCCTATACATGGACTCCTTTCATGCCTGGGAAAGCGGCACTGCTCTGGCGAGCGAGGGATCTCCTGGGACACACGGCGAGAGGCCTTGAGTTGAGCGCACACACACGAAGGCAAACCAAGAAATATAGAGCACCACGTGGCACGTGTGTCTGCCGCACTGCAATCATAGATCCCAGCCTGTCCTGTCTCCCTTGTCTACCTGTTCGTGTACGTGTGAGGGGTGGCTGGGTGCGTAGGACGAGTCGACCGACAGCCGAGGGGCCACATGGTGGTCGCCCTGCTGAGACACCCTGCGGGACGCAGTGTCCCCTGACGCCACACTACTCGACTGCAGACGTACAGACACACAGACGGGTGAGCGGATTTTCACCACGCACGTAGCCGTCACTTCCACAACGCACTCACCGCCACTGAGTGCCGTCTGTGGCATTCACTGATGGGCGGCAGCTCGCTCACGGTGTCCTTGTCGGCCGTCTTGGGCGAGAAAGGCGCACCGGGGGAGAGCATGCTGAGGAAGCTGTTAGGCACGTGAGTCGTGATGGAGCTGCCGCTGTGCCGGTGGTTGTTGAGCCCGCCGAATGTGGTGGCCCGCCGCATGCTGGTGCCAGCAGCAGCAGCGAGACCGACATGATGGAGCAGCACCGGGTCGAGAGGGATGTTGGCGAAGACGTTCGCTGAGTCGTCGCAAAAGGTGCCGAGGGAGTCGTCCTCCTTGAGTAAGGATTTCTCGAAGACTTGAAGCGCATCCCTGACATTGAAAGCCACAACACTTCCTGGTCACGATGGTCGGATGGGTGTCTGTCGCTCTCTGCCCGTCTGTCTGTCTGTGTGTGCCTGTGGAGTGAAGGTTTCAGAAAGCTGAGTTTGATGTCGTAGTAGTCACTCAAACACAGCTCGTGTGTCTCGCACGGCTCAGTGGCCACGACTGAACCAAGGAAGAGGAACACAAGCAAGCTGACTGGCAATGCTCTGCGTGGCCAACGCAACGCGCTTACGTGTGGTGGTGTACACTGGATGCTGCATCGTAACCGCCTTGGCACCAATCACTCTGACAGAGACAAATGTGCGGGAGGGGCCGTTGCACAGCCAGCGGCCGGCTGAGTGTTCTCATTTTTCATTCTCACCTTGGCCCGACAATCTCGTTCATGTTCTGTCCCTGCCCCAACACCACACTACGATCCCGAACCGCCATACCAGGCCTGCATGCACCACCGACAAACCACCCCACGTCATGGCTGAGCAGATGGTGGTCTTGCTGGCTGTGTCGTCCCCCACTTGTTCTTGTTGTTGAGCATCGCCACGCTGACGTCGCGGCACCGTCCCTCAAGAAAGAAAATGATCTTGGACACCTGCACGATCAGGGAGCCAATCAACGTACACACGAATCCTTCCTGTCGGTGGCGACTCACCTTTTGGAAGGCGTTGCAAAGCACGTCGCCGGGCAGGTACACCTGCACCTTGAGATGGAGGGTGATCTTCTGCGCCACCAGCTTGGACTCGCGCAGCACGTCGGACAAGGCCGGGAACTCACTAATCAGCTCTGTTTTGGTCTGCAGAACGGAAGAAGGGGAGACATGATGTGGGTGAAAGTGGATGCGCGTGCCTGTGTGCGAGACCTGGAGGCTGACAAGGCCTTTGAGAGAGTCGTTAAGCTCCTTTGCAAATGCCTGCAGAGAGGGAAATGCGGCCACACGAGACGTTTGTCTCCACTCCATCCAAGCGAGGGTGGCAAGCTACCTCCTCGACTTGGTTCTCGTGTCTGTGGAAGTCGAATCGGATCTGGAAGAAGTCTCGGAGCTTGGACTGCAGTGAGGGGTCCAGCTGCAGCTCCTTCATCGTGTGCTCCAACATATTCATCTGCACACACCACACCACTCAGCCAAAGAGCGGCCACCATCAGGGCACACACATTCTTACATCCCTCTCCTTTTGTCGACCTTTGCGTAGTGGCTTTTCTTCTCGGCATTGATTCGGGAAAGGTGGGCGGCCACCTCACCGAATATGGAGCCGAGCAACACGGCCCCGATGATCATGATGGCCACCAGAGTAGCGACCTGAACATACAACAAACACACACAGAAAACTGCTCCCTTTGTCTCTGTCGGTGTTGACGTGTGCGCGCGCACTTCTTCATTGCTGGTGTCCTTCTGCAGGTCGTAGCCCTGCCCATGGAACAGCGTGAGCACATAGAAGAGCGTCGCGAGGTAGGCTCTCAGGGTGGGCGGCTGCTCAGGCCAGGGGTAGTCGTCCGGCCGACCCTGCGCCTCATAATCCTCTATCATGCTTTGAACGTCGAAGGGAGAATTCTCTGCGCAAGTTGCAGCGGAGTGGAGAAGAGGGCTAGAAACTTTGAGTGTGACGTCTCTGTTGCTTACTGTTGAGGTACGGAACCATCGAAAAGTGGCACTGCGTCGGCAGCTGGCAGTCAGAGCCGCCCACGTAGAACAAAAGACACGCGCACCTGCAGCAATGGTGACCATAAGTGCAGAAATCGTGTGTGTGTCGATGTGCCTCGCTGGATGAAAGTCACCAGTGAATAAGCAGCAGTGAGTTAAGGGCGAACCAGACGACAGACATCACAGGGCCCCAGGAAGAGAAGCGTGCGTGCAGCTCCTGCACCAGCTCGTTGTACCGGCCCTTCCAAGTGATGCGCCGACACCGCCATATCCGCAGCAAAAGCCTTGAGGATGCACAAAAGCACTCATGCAGACAGACAGACAGACAGACAGACGGACATGCGGGAGCTTCCATGGCTGTCGCACCTGATGATTCGACAAAGCCTCAGTTTTGTGGCGACCGTCCTCAGCAGCTGCCGCCCCTCCGGTGTGTTGATGGGCGTCATGATGATGCCAAGGGATTTGCCGTCAATGTTCAGCAGCAGCAAAGCCCACACATCTGCCAAGCACAGAAACAAAGAGAGACTGGTAAAAGAAGGAAAACAGCATTACGCGGTGGCGTCCGCTGACCGATGAGCGGAAATGATGTGATGACATCGCGGAGGAATCCCCCACCAAAGATGTACTTGAGGGCAATCAGGCACTTCCGGACCTGCAGACACACACACATCCACAGGACAGGGAAAAGAACACATACAATCCATCCTTGCAGCACAGACCTCGATGGGCCTCGAGTAGAGGGCAATCACGCTCTCCAGCTCCTTCATGTCGGGCGCATATGCCGTGACGAAATTGAGGGTGATCTCCAGGAAAAAGAGGAAATCGACGACGTTGTCGGCGATGAACCACGACACGTGAACCGTCTCGTAAGGGACAAAGCTGAAGGCAAACCTGCACAAGGACAGGACAGGAGATGCATGTCGATGCTGATGACTGTTTGCCTGCCATCGACTGTTTGCCTGCCCTCGACCCCACGCAAGGTAGGCCGCGTAGAAGAAGGAGATGCACACGAGGGAGAAATCCACAACGCTGCGAATGAGTGCGTCCGGCGGCAGGACGTAATGCTCCTTGCACAGCTGGTTGGATGCCCTGGCCATCTCATAGGCGCTCGGGAACCAGTTCTCATGGTTCGACACCAAGGAGCTCCGGCGTTTTGACTCTTTCTGCTTGCCATGCAAGAGTGTGCCCAGGTTGATGCCGAGAAAGCTCTGGACACTCGTGCGGGGAGCGTCGTGCGAGAGGGCCCTTCCATATGACGGCTTCTTTGGCAAGGGGAGCTTCTCCTTGCCGTCGTTGTCGACGGCAGAGAAGGCGTCGGGATCAATCCGTGCTCGTAGGTTGCTCAAGCTGCGTACACACAAAGAACTCAGAATCTCATCTCACTGCAGGCAGAGCTCACGATTACAAGCTCACGATTACCCGAGTTCCTTGGTCTTCTGGCGAAGCATTTTGCCCGCCTGTCTGAGTGACGAGCGGGCCGTGGGGCTGGTGACGTCATCCATGGGGACTTTCTGTGTTCGGAAGGAGGGGTCGAAAATTTGGAGATCGCTTTGACTGGGGGCCCCGGGGAAATGGGGGCGCACTGCAATGGGGCGGGGTTGAATGCTTTGTTCCGTGCGCTCTTTGGGCAGATGGCAGCCCGCACCACCCATGCGCGCCAAGTGTGAGAGTGGGCCAATACAGAGAGAGCTTCAAGGGCCTCACAGTTGCATTCATGTTGTTGTTTCTTTGTCACTGCCATCATCATGCTCTCTGATAGTCCTGACCACGTCACTGACGTCCTCCCTATAGAACCGCACATCGTCCTGACGCGCAAGGTACCGGCACCAGTAGGCCAGGTGGAAACAGCGGCTCGCATCCAGCTTCTCCCACAGCACCACGCTCAGTAGCGAAAATGCGATGGAGAGGAAGAATCTTTGCACGCGGCGGCACATCCGCTGGTGCAGGGACAGGTGCAGGCTGCGCGCCAGGGCGATGTAGGCGCCCTTGTAATACAGCTTGGGGAACATCTCATACGCAAGAGACCCCTGCAAGACAGACAGAGAGAGGGAGAGACACAGAAAGGGAGGGATGGAGAATCCGGTCATCTGCGCGAATGATTTGTGATTCTTTCTGGCTGGCTGGCTGCCCACTGACCTCTGTCATGAATAATAGGAGCGTGAGATGGAAGCCGTGGGCCGTGACGAGTACGTCCGAATCCGCCACCCGCCTCACCAGCTCACACGGGGCCACACGGTTATCGTGCCAAAACACATCCACAGACCATCCACTGTCCCCCTCCCGCCCCCCTAACCCTTCGTCTAGCGCCCTCTGCAGCCTGTGTACAGCCATGATGCGGCGTGTCCTGTCCCGCTGATAGATCAGCACCTTGCCTTGACCGTCCTTCTCCCCCTTGCTCCTTCTTTCCCTCCTCACCGCCACTTGCTGCTGGATCTCACTCACGCCGGGGCAGATGGCGTCTACTGTCTGCCGCAGTCTCGCCAGGTCCTCTGGGCTCTGGAAGAAGTCGCCTCTGTTGACCTGGAAGGCCTTCGGCTCGCTGCCAAACCAGTGTGGGCTGAGGACCTTTGCGCACACTTGAAGGGCGGGAGAGGGCGGGGCGAAAGACGGGTAAGCATGCCGCTTGAACTTCTCGCTCGAGTGCTGAGAAGGGAGGATGCGAAACTCCTCCCTGAACCATTCTTTCGGCAGCAACATCGTCGGCAGCTGGCTCAGGTCTCCCCTCCTGCCCCCGTGAAGCAGCAATGTGAGATTGCCTTCCCCCGTGTGGCCTTCATCAGCCAGGGGTTGCTCATCGATCGGATGTGGCGCCAGCAGGAAGTGGATGGATTGGGCGGCAGAGGGCGGCGAGAGCCCGACAGAGAGGATAAAGCGGACGAATGGCGTCAGCTGGGCGAAGAATGAAGAGGACGTGACAAGAACATAAAGATCCGACGCAGGACCTGGCACACACACGGACAAACATCATCAGAACACGGTGGGTGAGGTGCGAAAAACTTGGCTTGCCTATGGCGTCCCAGTTGTCCTTGAGCCTGGCATGGTATGACATGGCGTAAGACGCCACATGCCACCAGTGGCCGCCCGTCGTCTCCCTGTGCGGATGCCATATCGCAACCACCGCACCTCCAGACGTCCAATTGCACGACGGAGAGCCGAAGGGCGACGACCACGCCCCTGGATCCCACACACAAACTACCAAAACATCGTCCAGTGAGATGGCCCTCATGCTGGCTGTGCACCTGTGCTGCGTGTGTCCCGGAATGACGGCACAAAGTCGAATCCCCGGCGCCTCCTGAGGAGCCAGAAGTCCACTTTGGTGAGGAAGAGGAGGAGGGCGAAGGTGCACGGTAGGAGAAACAAAAACAGCTTGAACCGACGCGATATCATAGCCGACGAGAACAACAATGAATCCATCCAATCGGGAAGCACAGGGAAAAACTAAGATCTCCTTTCGTAAACTTCGCGGGCGAGCCGCGAGGCGATCTGCGCTGAACTACCGTCCCTGAGGTCACTTGGTTGCTCCGTCAGACGCTGCTCAGTGCAGATCTACGCTATCAAGGATGAAGAGAGCTGCTGAGGACTGCCATGCTGACAGCGATGACTCCAAGCGGCAGAAGGCGAACGACAACGCATCATCATCGGCAGTGCGGGACTATCTTTTGGACATCGAGGGCACCACCACATCCATCTCGTTCGTGGCCGACGTTCTCTTCCCCTATGTGCGCGACCACCTGTGCTCGCATCTCACCGAGCGGCTTGAAGGCCAGGACGACGAAACGATAGACGACATACGCGCACTCGCGAAACAGGTGAGATGGCATGAAAGATGAGATGAGAGCATCACAACAAGGCATCACTGTTGGCGGATGGATATAGGCGCGAGATGACGGCGAGGAGGCTCCCCAGATAGACGTGTCGGAGCTGGTCAAAACCGTTGCTGGCGGGAAGGGCAGCGAGCAGAGCAACGGCAGGGCGCGGCTGTCAACTGAGGAGAGGGCCCGGCTGGTCGCCGCTGTGCAGAGGTTCGTGCTGTGGTGCATGGATAACGACAGGAAGATGCCTGCACTCAAGGTAGCCTCTCACCAGACGACACTTTTCATTGCGCATGATGCGGTCACCAGGATGTTGTCGCCTGTGTCGGCTCATGCAGGCGCTTCAGGGTCACATGTGGCGCGCTGCCTATCGGTCCGGTCTGATCAAGGGCCATGTGTATGCGGATGTGCTGCCGTTCCTGGAGGCCGCCACCACACAGCAGGGGGCGAGTGTGTGGATATATAGCTCTGGGTCAGTCGAGGCCCAGAAGCTGCTGTTTGCCCACTCGGAGAAAGGCGACCTCACCAAGGTACATAGACACACTCAGTGAGTGCTCGACTTTCATTTCCAAGGCGACTGTGTTTCTGCCTGCCTGCCTGACTGCCTGACTGCCTGCCTGCCTGCCTGCCAGTTCTTCTCCGGTCATTTCGACACAATGATTGGCTCCAAGCTGGCGGCCGAGAGCTACACAACCATCTGCAAACAGATGGGTATGAGAGAGGGAGAGGGAGAGGGAGGGAGAGAGCACAGCCACAGGCGCGCGGTATGTGTCGAGCATTCCTTCCTCTGTCCTTCTGTGTCGCGTGTGTGTGCAGGTGCCGAACCAAGCAGCGTTCTGTTTGTGACGGACAACATCAAGGAGGCGTATGCTGCCGATGAGGCGGGGCTGCGTGTGCTGGTGAGTGTGCGGCCGGGCACCATGGCGCTGCCCGAGGGGCATTCCTTCAAGGCCATCACCTCCTTCGAGCATATTCATGACCTTGTGAATGAGAAAGGCAAGTAGTTCGCTCGAAAAGGAATTGTGCATTCATTCGGACGTGTGATATAACGATTGACGCTGCGCTGCATTCATATCGCTTACATGAATGAATCGATGGCATGAAGGTGTTCGGCCGGCACATGCACTCCACAAACAAATGTCACGCCACTGCCTGCAGACCGGTCTGCCACCAATCGACTCGTTCCGCCGGCACGCCATCGACTGTACGCCTGAACGTCTGAACAGGGGAACAGACGATGGCCACGACGTGGACGAGTCGACTGGTGCCAGGCCAGCCCTGTGTGGAAAACTGCGCATGTGTCCATCCAATCCACCGTCACGCATTCACCCCATCCACCCACCCCAGCCATCCATCCATCCGAACATTGAAAATCGCACACCCCCGGGCCACGCACACAAATAGTCGTCACGAGCCACGCGTCACGCACGACAGGCCGGCCCATTCGATAACGTCCGAATACCGACAAAGAAAGTCGGCCAGGCCATCCACACACACACACACACACACACCCCAACAAAGGCCGGCCACAAAGGTGTTTTCCTCTTGTTCTCTTGTCGATCGGCACCAGCATTGTGTGTGCGAAGGAAGGACGAACAAACAAACAGTAAGTGACGGGCAAGCAGCCATAAAATGGTTGGTGCCAGCCAAACGGACGGACAGTCAGTCTCACGAAACAGCCAAACGCGGCAACAGCAACGCATACACACCACACGCAGCTAATCGCCATCCATCCATCCATCCAATGTCGTCTGTCTACAGCACAGCACACTCCAGGGTACCCTCCCTCTCCCCCAGTCAGTCAACTAAGTGAACTGCCTAGGTGTATATGGTGGGCTCTTCAACGCCTGAGAGGAGGCTGCGTGTCGTCTTGCAAGGGCCCCCCTGGGTCACGGACACCAAGGCGTTGAGGGTGCCGCCGATGCCATACTTTTTCGCCTCTTTCAACACCTGCGCCAATCGAATGCACATCACACACACACATATCCATGGGCGGCAGCCAGTCCAGCCGATGTGTGGAGGTCGGGTCGTGCGCAGCGCACTGGTTACATACATCTTCGTAGCTGGCATCGGCGAATTTCTTCCAATCTCGTGCGGCGATGTGGAACTGCGCCCGGGACGGATCGGCTATCACAATAGAATCGTAGGCGCCCTGACACACACACACACACACACACACACAGAGGCGTCGCTCGTCCATTCATTCCTGCCTTCACTGGCTGGCTGGCTGCGTGTGTGTAGCTTTTGGTTCATTCATCGGCTCTCTTACCCTACCTTCTTGTCCTTCTTTCCCAGGTACAGCATCTCCATGTCCAGTGCGGGGCTCTTGGTAGCCAAGTCATATTGGAGCCTGCACACAGACAGACAGACAGACAGACACACACATTGACACACCAAGAAGCAAATTGATGCCGATCAACGGACGTCGGCACACACACTTACTTCCACTTGGATGTGTCTTTGGGGTCCGTCGAGATGAAGACGCCCTTGTCGGTCTGGTACTTGCCGTCCCGGGAGCCGGTGCTCGAAATGTCCAGCGCTACCTTAGCACCGGGGCGCTTCGTGACCTCTGCTCATCCAAGAGAGAGAGAGAGATGAGGAGAGAACACACACACGAGGGAGATCCATCCATCGGAGTCTGTGAGTCTGTGCGTGGTGTTGTGTGTGGTGCGATGTGTACCGTACCCGTGACGACGCATTCGGTCGGTCGGCCGAGCGCCACTTCGGTGAGGCTGGTGTACATCAGATACCTACAAACACACACACGGATGCAGCAAAGAATGCAGCCCATCCACCAACATCCATCCATCGGGACTCCGTGTGGTCCCTCACTCACCATGTGCCGACGAGGCCCTCAGGGTCCACTGCTAACTTTGGCGCCACCGGCTTCTTCTTCACCGGCTCCTGACCGGCAGCAGCCACCAGCCCCACGATTACAACAAACAACCAACGCCTCGTCATTCCTGCAGCGCTCCGGAGTCGTGGTATCGTGCAGCTGAAATGCGTTAACGCCAAAAGCTGAAATGACATCAAGCTCGCAAATCTGGAACTGCGCCCTCTTCTCTTTCTCTCTCTCCCCTCGTGTACACGATGGCAGTGGTACCTGGGCCAGTTGTTCTGCTCGCCATCTTGCTCTGCGGGTAGGTTTCATCCAAAAGTCTTAGGGGGAGGACAAGGCTGCACCGGGTGAGGGGGTGGCGCAAACACGTCCGTGGGGTGTGTGTATGTGTGCTCCTCAGGCACCTGACGACCGCCCTCGCCGAGATCTCTGCCACCACGGAGACTGACGGTCAGGAAGTGGAGCGAGGTCAGGGAGGGAGGAGACGAATCTTCAGCACCGACCCAGGCACATGACATGACATGACATGACTGCTGGCTGTGTGTGCTGTGTGCTGTGTGCTGTGTGCTGTGTGCTGTGTGATGTGTGTGCAGGTCGGCAGCTGAAGGGGTACTACCACCGCCGTCACGGGCGTCGGAGCCACTCCCCGTCCTACAGCCACAGCAAACACCACAAGCGGCACGGTGGCTACGACTATGGCTATGGCTATGGCTATGGGGGCGGTTATGGCTATGGCTATGGGGGCGGTGTCAGTGGTGGGTACCACCCGGTCCCGACGCCCACACACGTCGACCACCAGGTGAGTGACGCGATGGCGAGAGAAACGCCTGCCGTGGGGATCTATCCATCTGTGTCTGCCTGTCTGTCTGCATCTGATCAGCCGGTCAGCCACACGCCTGCTCACCCCTCCCCCTCCCGGCCATCGTCCCCCTACAACCGCGAGGTCCCCTCCGCCCCATCCCCGTCATCCGCCGTGTCGGTCGACCACACTCCCGGAGGCGGCACTGATGTTGACGACGACGACGACGACGACGACGACGACGAGTGGAACCCCGAGGACTACTACCGCGTCCCGCCGCCCTCGGATGCGGTGGATTCGGCATCGGTGCCCACATACGACACGTCTCCTTACCTGGAGGGAGGGGACGGTGGCGATGATGACGAGACGACCGTAGGCGCCATTGGGCAGCAGGTCGAGGCGCCTCCTGAAAGCGATGATGATGACGACACTGCGGAGGGGTTCGCGTCTTCTGGTTCGGGGCTGCTGCTGCCGCCGGTGGAGCAGAATGACATTCTCGTGACCGAAGAAGGTCAGTGATGGACAGACGACGCTTATCTGTGGGTGAGGATGTCTGTCTGTCTGTCTGTCTGTCTGTCGGCCTGCAGATGTGACGACGGCCCCGCCCGACGACACTATCGCAGGTGGGCTCTGTCATTGAACCGTCGGCACGTCAGCAACTGACCTTTATGTGTGCTCTTGTGGTCTTGGTAATGTGTGCAGGCGACTTGGGTCCGAACGGTTTAATCCCCAGCTCACTGGCGGGCGACGGCGTGAGGGCGCAGCAGCTGTCGGTGGAGGGCCTGGACCAACGCGTCGAATCAGGTGAACACACACACACAGACAGACAGGGCGGGGGGGAGTCTGCGGCAGTCATGTTGCATCAATCTTTGTGTGTGTCTCTGTGTGTGCCGTGTGCAGGTGCGTCCGCGGCGTGGTCTGTCGTGGCAGCGGTGCCTGCCCTGCTGCTGGTCCTTGTGGCTCTCTGAACGCGAAACTGATGAGAAGAGAGCACTGTCGCATCCACCCATAAGATATATGCGTGTGCGTGTATGTGTCCATGGATGCATTGCGTGTGATTGCATGTCATGTGTTGTGTTGCCCTGTGTTGTGCTGTGTGCTATGTCGAGAGAGAGGGGGGAGGAAGGTCACTCACAGCTGGGTCGCGCCAGAGCCTACCCACTGCTGTTGTGGTGATCATGTCTTGTTGATGCCTCCTGTCCTTGTCTCTCGGCACGTCGCTAACGATCATACACCGAAGTGATCTGCTGCTGCGTGCCGAGACGCGGTGAGACGCAGGAGGCATCAACGGACATGCCAAGAGACGGCACTGCCTAAGAGGGAGGGATCAGAGAGCGCATCACTTGATGGTGTCCGATGCTGTGTCGGTGTGCTAGCGCCAGTTGCAGAGCTTCGGGTCACTCTTGACCGAATCTCACGCGCATGAGCTTCGGTCAGTCGTGGCGGGCGGCTCGACAACTGGCACCAGCCGCCTGTCCACACAGCACAGCCACAGCCACAGCCACAGCCAGAAAGGGACGACAAAGGGACATATGGCTTCGCTTGCACTGTGTCTGCATGGCTATGCGTGCGGTGGACGTTCCTCCCCTCTCTCACTGTCACATACATGACATGTGTCTGCATGTTTGTCATGGTGGTATAGGGTGACTGAATGGCTGGCTGGCTGATACATACATTGCCTACACCCATGTATGTACACCAACAAAACACATATGCACTGACTGGATGAATGAATCAATGAGGCAGGCGTGTTGTGTTCTATGGGCCTTTTTCCGGTCAGTTGCGAATATCGTACGGTACGGCGATTGCTGGCAAGAGAGAGAGGAGAGAGAGAGGCGAATGAATCTTCTGTTCTGTTCTCATCACGAGAGCCCATCGCACGCACAATTCAGACATTACATACTTACATCGCACCCATGGGAGGGAGGGAGGGAGGGCAATCGCTGTCGCGTGTTGTGTGTCGTGTGCGCGCATGTTTTTGTGCTTTGGCCGCTTCCATCCGACCATCTGTCTGTCAGTTTTGCGCTCTTCCGACCCACCGCGCCACACACAACACAACACAACACGGTACACACACATCGCACCAAAGCAGGAGAGACTGCTCTCGTGTGTGAACGAGCGCATGCTCGTGTGTAAGTGTAGGTGTATAGGCCTAGTCAGCCGACAGCCGCGTGTGCGTGTGTGTGCGTGCGTATGTGTGTGTGTATTTACGGTAATTGGTTGAATGAACGGCTCCTTTATATCTAGCTCGATCCATCGTACTCAATCACTGCTGGCCTGGGCTCTTGGCTTCTCCCGAGTCGCTCGCTGCAGGAATGATATGGACACACGACTGACTGACTGGCTGATTCCCATGTGAGATGGTACGGATGGTAGCTAGCCCAGAGAGAGAGAGAGAGAGAGAGATTTGTCGTCATACGGTTGTTTTTGGCCTATTTCTCGCGGTACTTTTCCTTTTGTCAACCAAGCACATACACACATCTGGCTCGTGGCTGGCCGGCCGCAAAGTGTGCGTGTCTGCGTGGATGTCCACTTGTGCTGTGACGTGTCTTTCCCGGACTTGCGTCGTGCAATCCGTCCACAGATTGCACCCAACACACGTCCGGGGCGCCTGCGTCATAGCACAACGGACAGACACCATGCGCACACACAAAAGACAGAGACGGTCACAGCAGACAGAGGGGAATCAATTCGACGGGATGCAGGCTTGTTAATGAACGAACGGCCGGGTGAGGTGAATGAAGGATTAATGGTTTGTCTCTCTCATCCACACGACCGACACACACAGCACACGAGCTATCACCTAACACAACAACAACACAACACAACTCGCGACACAACATCCATCCACACAGATGGACAGATGGACGGATGGATGGATAAAGCGTCCGTCCATGCAGACACCAACTACCACGGACACAAACTATACAGAAACACAGGACGTCACTCACGAGAACCGACCCACCCACATGCATTGCATCACCCGAAGAACTTGGTGCTGTCCTCAAACTTGAGGAAGTTGTATATCGCCGGTGCCAGCGACAGTACGCGAAAGGGCGGCGTCGACGCGAGAATCTTCGACATCTGACACACACACACACACACACCCCTCTCTCTCTCTCTGTGTGTGTGTATGTGAGTGTGTGTGTGTACCATGGGGCAGCTGTCGGTGACGAAGAAGTCCTTGAAGCTCTTCTCCTCGCCGTTGCCACCACCACCAGCAGTAGCAGCCGACGGCACAAACCGCTTCCACGACTCCTGTGGATGAACACACCCACACAGCAGCAGCAGCAGCAGCATGCACCACCTACAGGGCTCTCTCTGTGTCTCTCTGTGTCCATGTGTCTGTGTGTGTCGACTGACTTGTGGGAAGACCCCATGGGTGACAAATGCGCTGACAGACGCTGCCCCCGCCTCAAACAGTGCCTTCTTGCACTGAATCAATGTCCCGCCCGTCTTGACCTAATCACACACACATTCACAGCCATGGACTCACACACGTCCACCCATCCAATCCATGGCTGGACGAATGGATGGATTGCTCACCAGGTCGTCGACGATGTAGACGTTCTTGCCGGTGGGGTCGCCCTCAGTGATCTTGACCATCCGCTTGTCGCCGTTGCGCACCTTGCTGCACGTTATCAGCTCGTAATGCTCGTCGTCGAACTGACGACCGAACCGCTTTCGCGCGCCCTCATCGGGAAACGCTATCGCCACATCTGAGCAATCCCCCCCAACACCCACACCCACACACACCCAGACACGAAGACCAGAAGTGCCGCGTGTGTGTGTGTGCGGGCGTGTTTGCGCGCCTCACCGCTTTGATGCGCGATGGCGTCTTTGAAGAGGGGAATGGCCGTGAGCAGGACAGGAATGATCTCGTCGCCGAAGTAGAACCTCTGCTGCAGCGCGTGGATGTCGAAGAACACCCACTGGGCCGGCCCGGTACCGTGACACTTGGGTGTGGCTGAGAGGATGCGAGCCAGCGTCTTGGCCGTCGCTATCTGCCCCTCCTTCTCCACACTGGATGAATGAATGAACCAATCAAGAGAGGACAGACACATACAGTCAGTGGTCTCTTTGTTTGTTTGTGTGTGAATGATATGTGGCTGAGCGGCTGGCTGACCGTTCCATGGTGCCTGTGGGGAAATAGGGCAGAAACACGGTGAGGGACTTGGCGAAGCTCCGGGGCACCGAATATATCACAGAGATCTGTCCAACAGATACGGACAGATACACACAATCAAATCAATCAGGGCGCGAAAGGATTCAAAAGAGTCCGTCACTCTGTCTGGTGGGTGCGGTGCAGAAATGGCACACACCTGGTCGAAAATGGAGGTCTTGACGTGTTCGAGCATGAAGCTTGCGAGGAATATGACGTGTTTGCCGCGGAGGTGGCAGTGCCAGTCCTGCACCGAGATGTTGGGGAAGCCGTCCTCAAACCTGCCCCAGGTTATCTTGCCTGAAGCCATCCATGGGTGGTTGGCCCACACACACACACACACACGCACACATTGCACACATTGCACACATTACACTTCCACCAGCATGTGTGCGTGCGTCTGCTGGGCTGTCCCTGATGCAGATGCACTGCACTCACTGACCTTTGACGAAGCAGGGGTTCATGGTGACGAGCTCGTCAGCCAGATCCTCAAACTCTGGGCAAGCAAACACAACGCGCTGGGTCTGATGAGAGCACACACACATGCGAATTATATGAGTCTATGAGTCCTCCCTCTATTGGCCTTCCTTCGACAGACCTGTTTGCCGGCGCTGTTTGGTCCTCCTGAAGGGGACGGCATCCCGAGCGATGCGGACGAAGATCTGTCCACGGGCGTCCTCGACTCGCTCTGCAGACGAATCGTGGGAGGACCTTCTGCAGGCGGATCCATCACGACTTGCGTGGATGCTCCTGCTCGACCAAACGCCTCTGACTGCCGCACCTCAGAACCAATGGCACCCTTTTCGGCTCAGATCTCTGAGCTCGCAGCCTAAGCTCGCAACTGTGAACGAGGAGAAATCATCGAATCAACGTTCATCGTGCTGCATGGTGATGGGCGACGCTCGCACGCCCGCCGCGACCGATGGCTGGGCCTTTGAATGGCCCTCACGGGCGGCGGGGCACTCCGTCCGATGGGACATACAGAGATACAGCCTCGTCGGGTGAGTGGACGGGTCAGGCACACTGCACAACACCATTCTGCACAGGAATCTTGCCAGATCTCCGTGTGTGTGTGAGTGTTTGGTCCCTGTGCTGATGCAGATCTCGCCGCGCATCTGACCCGGGTCTGGTGATCCTTGAGGGGCTGCAGGGGGAGCTGCTGCCGGGAGAAACACTCGCAATGTACACCCATGAATCAGTTCCTTTGTTCGTTCAAAGGACATCTGCACCTGTGGAAATCCATCTGTATGTGTGTGTGGGGGTATGTATGTGTCTGGTCTGCCCGCAGCTTGGGGCCAAGCGGAGCAGGCAAAACGTCAGCACCGCCACGCACAGGGCACCAACACGGCCAACGGACAGGCATCACTGGGTTGTGCATCTCTATCTGTGTGCGTTGTGTGTGTGTGTGTGTGTATGTGTGTGTGTGTGTGTCAGGACTTTTCTCTCCCTGCTGGCCGGTCGTGTGCAAGAGGGTCGTTTCAAGGGCCAGATCTTCGTGGGCAACGAGATGTTCTCCCCAACACGCATGAGGTCCCTGTCGGCCTATGTGGAGCAAGAGGACCACCTGGTGGGCTGCCTCACTGTGCACGAGGAGCTCTCCTTCGCCGCTGACCTCAGGTAAAGAATAGAACCTGGTCGTTCGTTGGCACACAGACAGGCAGACAGACCGACGCCTGTGTGTGTATGTTTCGTGAAGGCTGGATGCGTCGATCCCTGCGTATGAGCGTCGGCTGGAGGTGGAGAAGGTCAAGGGCGACCTCGGGCTCACTCACGTCAGTTCTCGGCGCATCGGCGACTACTTCTCGCGAGGCATATCCGGCGGCGAGAAGCGGCGCGTGTCCATCGCCAAGGAAATGGTCACACACAGGCAGATACTCTTCCTGGTGCGATAAATGGATGCACTCAGACACTCACACGCATAAACAGACAGAGGGAGTGAGCATGGACACGCCCCCCACGGATGCATGGGTGTTGTGTGTTTTGTGTGTGTGTGTGTGTGTGTCAGGATGAGCCCACATCTGGTCTGGACAGCTTCACGGCTCTGCAGGTGGTGCACTCGGTGATCCACCTGGCGAGGCGGCGGAACCTGGTGGTCTTCTGCACCATACACCAGCCCAGCAGCGAGCTCCTCCACTCATTCGACAAGGCAAGGCACGCAACGCACAAAGTGGCCTTTCCCCCACCCATACACACATGACATGACAAACACATACCATACATCTCTCTCTCTTTGCCGCGTGTCTGTTGTGTGTGGTCAGGTGCTGCTGCTTGCCGGCGGTCGCACAGTGTACTTCGGTGGCACGAGGGGTCTGTCTGTGTTTTTCCGTGAGCTGGGCTACGAGCCGCCACAGGACGTCCCCGTGTCTGACTTTGTCCTCAGCGTCATACACAGGGTAGGTAGGATGGATGTACCATACACACACAGAGAGGTGGGCAACAAAACCTTCTCCCGTCCTGTGTTTCTTTCAGGATTTCCCCAGCCGTCCGCTGCAGTCGCCCGTGAAACCACCCTCCCAGCCGTCTGCATCACCTGCCTCTCTGTCCGTGCCCCCCTGCCCCATCCGCACTGACTCCAAGGACCAGCTGCTGCTGCGCGCCAACAGGCTGCTCCGCACCTGGAGGCGCCGCGAGAGGAACAGGTCACTGCCATCCCTGCAAGCGCTGCACTCGCCTGTGACACCGCCTGACGAAGAGAGCGGCATCGGCATCATCATGACCGTACGCCCCCATCCCATGCACCCCACCCACACACAGAGGAGTGGAGGGAGAACCTGGGTGGTGTGGCGTGTCCTTTGTCTCTCTCTGTCAGGGAAGGAGTGAGTCGTCCCTCTCCTTCACTGCAGTCTCGCCGCGCCATCCACTGGCTGCCGATGGTTCCCCGTTCGGCGGCTCCATGCGGTCGTTTTTCCTCGGGAATGAAGGCGACTCGGATTCGGGCGAGGGCGAGGTGAAGAGGGGGGCCTACCCCACTGGATACGGCCGGCAGGTGGCCGTGCAAATGAGGCGATTCGCGTGAGCATGCAGACCAAAGGGATGCATCAGTGGGTATGTATTATGTGGTGGGTGTGCTGTGGTGTGGTGTGGGGTGATGGCTGGTGTCCTGTCAGGATCATCTTCCGTCGCGACCCGGTGGCCTTTTTCGTGCGGTTCTTCCTGGAGATGCTGGTCAAACTGATGCTGGCCTTTGAGTGGTGGCGCATCGGCGCACGGAAAGAGCTGCAGGCCGTGGGCGACCTCAAGGTAATTAATCTACACCCAATGATGGCCATACAGACGCACCCACCTTGTGATGGCCACACGGCTGTGTGTGGTGGGTATGTGGTTGTCAGGGTGCGATGCTGTTCACGTTGGTCGCGACGGGCTTTGCCGCGCTGATGTCGTTGCCACAGATAGAGCAGGAGAGACGCATCTTCGTGGTATGCCGTGGAAGGAAGGGGTCACAGGAACAGAAATCTGGAGTGATGCATGTATGTGTGGATGTCTCGATGCGATGCAGGCTGAGCAGCGCGCCCGTCTCTATCGGCCGACAACGTATATTGTCGCCACACTGGCGGTGACTGACTGAGACATCCATCCATCCATCCATCTGTGTGTTCTTGTGCACATCCTACTCTGTGTGTATGTCGCTGGCTGGGTTAGCTGCGGCTGCCGTCTCTGATGCTCTTCACCCTCCCCAATGCATGCCTGGTAAGTGGATGAAATCGACAGGCCTCGTTCTTTGTGTCGTGCTGGATTTGTGTGTCTCGGCATGGATGGATTGATGGATGGATGTGGGCAGGTGTACTTTGCCCTCCAGATGGACAAGGACGGCTTCGACGCCGACAGGTGGGTGAGTGAGTGACGATGATGGCACCAGCGAGCAACGCGTGTGTGGGTGTGACTTGTTTGTCAGGTTTGGTTATTTCGTCTTGGTGACATGGTGTGTGGCCTTCGTGGCCGAGGCCCTCACCATCTGCATCGCATTCATCGCAAAAGACGTCACCGTACGACCACACACACACACACACACACACATCCATCCATCCATTCTGTGTCCGTGTGTGTTGCGTCAGCTGGGATGGGCCCTGGGTGTGTACGAGCAGGCAGTGCTGATGCTGTGGAGCGGCGGGTTCATCCGCTCATCCGCAATGCCCCTCGCATTCAAAGTCCGTCAGCCACCCTCCCTCCCTCCCTCCCTCCCCCTCGGTTTCTATCACCATGGACGTACGTGTGTGTCTGTGCATCTGTGCAGGTGATAGGTTTGGTGTCGCCTCACAAGTGGGGTTTGGAGGCTCTGATGCTGACGTTCATCCCCGGCCGGTGCTACGAGATCGAGACGCTCGGCGAGGGGCTCTGCCCGGAGGCCATCGAGGGGCACACCATGGATGGCCAGAAGGTACGTAACGTACCGTCTCCGTGTGTGTGGATGGTGCGGGCATATGACGCCTGGTGTGTTGTGTGCAGGTGCTGGAGCACATGTTTGGGTCAAAGGAGTGGCCCTTCTCACCTGACACAGTCACGCCGGTCAGCGGGCCACACCACACCACACCACACCACACCAGTGGTGCCAGTCCCCCCACCACTCTTTGTGTGTGTGTGTGCAGATCAAGGCCCTCTGTGTGCTGCTTCTGGTGTCCCTAGCCCTCTTCGTCACAGCCGTCCGCACATCCGTCGAGCGCTCATCGCCCATCCCCGTCACGCAGAAATCCAACACACGATCGGTGTCATTCGACACTCTCCTGGGCCCGCCGTCCCGCGAGGAGTCGCCGTTCCTCAACCCTGACAGCCCCTCGGCTGCTGCAAATGGGAAGGCCGCTTATGGAACCTTCACAAATACGCCGGCGGGGTGAGAGAATGGGTGTGTTGGTCCATTGGCATCCTGTGTGCATTGTTGTCAGCTGACAGGCCTGCCTGCCTGCTTGCCGCGTGTGTGTGTGTGTCCACATTGATGTGAGACGAGGGATCGGTTTGACGCTGTGTGGGTGAGTGAATGGGGTGGGCGGGGTGGGTGGCTACATGTGTGTGTGAGGTCTCTCGCCGTGTAGGGTATCATCGAGTTGATTTGACACTAGTTAGTGCTTGGAATGTATGGTGGCGTGCCGCAATGAGGCACACACTCATGAATGGATGCGATGATTGCGTCTCCTACTCTCATACACAATACATATACAGGTAGATACATACATTGCCAGGTCGATGGATAGTAGTCTCGTGTAGCCCCCCCATGTGGGGCGGCCTCCCAACATGTGAGCAGAACCAATCCAATGGAAAAAAGCCTGTCTCTCCGCAGCGGTTTCACGAAGAGAAACAAACCTCAAGGGAGGGGAGGCGAGGAGAGGCGAGCACCCTTGTGCAGCCATCGAGGGGTAGCTGAGGTTCCGCATTGTGCTTGCTTCGCCTCAGATCGATGAGTTATACTGAGAAGAATCGTCGCGTCTGTCCATCCTGAGGTGCGGCGGAGAGGGCAGGAAGATGGCGAATTCACCATCGTTGCCGCACTCCTGGGCTGTGTGTGTTTGTCCGTCAGGGAGAGACCGTGAGCTTCGGTCAAGTAGCCGCCTCGGTCGCCGCCTCAGTGGAGACATTGGAGTTCTCATTGCAGCGAGCCGCTACTGTGAGCCGCTGAATCAGATCTACAGGGATGGGATTCGATAGAAAGGTGAGGCGCATCACAGCACCGCTGGCAATGGACGGCGCACTTCACCAGACGGACATCGGCTGTGTCTGTTTGGGGTATGTGTGCAGGTCAAAAGGACTCGTATGTGTCAGGCACCGGCTTCGTCTTCATCGGCTGCATCTGGTGACGATGCTGGCGGCGAGAGCGTTGAGGAGCGGCAGCGTCGGGCTGAGAGGGAAAGACGCTTCTGGGGGAATGCGCCTGTGAGCCAACCACACGCACTGAGGCCATCCACTGATGGATACCCACATCCCTTGCCGTCCCGTGTGGTGTGTGGTTGTGTGCAGCCCGGTCTCCTTAGCATCGTCATGGCATTCCTCCCCATTCATCTGCTCATGCAGCTGCAGCTGCCGCCCCTCACATGGCAACACGCGGCCCGCAAACAGCACCACCTCGCCATCAGCGCGGCGGACGAAGACCAGCGGTCGTTTTGGCAGAGGGCCACCATCGACCTCGTCAAGGAATGGGCCACATACCTCAGACAGCTCACAACCATCACTCTCCAATACCCTCTCTGCTTCCCTTGCTGGTGTTTCGACGTCTTTGTGGCCGTCATCGAGGGCCACATCGCCGACCGACGGGCAGCCAACCTGTGCGGCGGGACGCTGCAGACCATCGCCATCGAGGGAGGCGTTCGGCTGACCGGCACGGCGAGGCAGAGCGTCGCGAGGACACACCCACCCCTCCCAGCCCCTCTCGACCCGCCCCTCACCCTCGACGCACTCACCATCATCGCTGGCCTGACAGGCGACCATGAGGTGCTGGCCTACCGGGGCTGGCGGATGCCCTCACTTGCCATCGTGCGGCAGGAGGGGTGGCTCCCCGGCAGCCTGGGCAAGCTCATCAGCTCGTCCCGCTCGTTGCAGTGTGTGGACGGTAGCTTTAGGGATGAGGGATGGGCGAGGGTGTTCGAGCGCATCCCTGCGACACCTGCTGGGCAGCAGGGAGGGCCACTCGCCCAGCTGGAGAGCATCGGCACCATCGTGGTCGAAGGTAGCGTCCGGCGGGCATCGAGCAGCTTCAGGTGACTACAACGCACACACATGTACAGTGTGGATTGGCTCATGATGTCCTTCTTGCATGTATTCTTGCCTTCAGGAAGTGCTCGTTGCGCGGGGCTGTCGACGGTCACTCAAGGAGCTGCACTCGAGTGAGTTCTACAGAATCGGCCGCCCCACATTACCCTTACTGCTGGCCCTGGACCAGCTGGTCGGCGCGTGCTGCCGACAGGACGCCCCACTCACGCTCACCAACACCAGCCGTTTCGGCTTCGACCTCTCCATCTTGTACCACCCCAACTTCCCCTCCCCTCCCATCCCTCACCCTCATTCAAGACCATGATCCAGCAGCTGGCAGACACGGCCTCATCGGTGGAGTACATCTTCACCGAGGATGGCCTCACCGACAACCTCGGCAGCCCCAGTGAATCGGCCGTCGACATTGTATCCGGCCTCTCTTTCCGACAAGGCCGTGAGGTGATCGTCGAGAATCATGCCCCTGGCTTCCATCCCCGCGCCAACACCCCATCGCCCTACCCCGCCATCATCGCCCACATGCAGCCGTTCCCCAAGGCCTCACAGCTGTATGTCTCGAGCGACCTGGGTGGTGCAGCCGCCCGGCTGCTGGCCGACAAGATGCCCAAGGAGCTGGGGAGGGTGTACATCAACAGGCTGTCGGGTGAGGAAAGGGTGGGCGTGTTGACGGCGCTGGCGAGTGAGAGAGAGGTGGGTGAGGTGTGGATGGGGCACATCGGTGTCGACCAGCTGCTGGGGGCGGCCAACGAGTTGCCGACGATCAGGGAACTTCGTTTCACAATGACACGTACGCTGAGAGAAGAGGCCATTTGTGTTCCTCCGTCCTCATTTCTGCCGTGTGTGTTCCCTCCCCTTCAGTGCCCGATAGTGTGGAGGATGCCGGCAGCTTCGTCCGCACCAGCCTCTCCTCGGTGACCTCGCACATCAGGGGCCTGCAGTGTGTGGAGCTGAGAGTCGACGGGACGACAGCTGAGCAGCGTGCTTCCATCGAGACCTCCGTCCCTGTCGGCACCAACATCGACAGCTTCACCATCAGAAGCATCAGTGGCTATGGGGGCACATGGGTGACAATGACTGCAGTTCTCAATGCCTGAGGTGAGGGAATGGCACTCATTGATAAGAGGGGCTGATTTTGTGACCGTGTTCGTGTCTGATCTCTGTGTGTGGTGATGGTGGTGTCTGTCAGGCCGGCTGTTGTGTGTGGTGGGTCATTCATAGCAGAGGGGCAGTGGGGATCAGCTGACGACACTTATGTGCTGCATGGACTGGCTGCGATGTGTGTGTGTGAGTGTCTGTGTGTGTGGACGAGTGACCAGGTAGCTGTGCAGAATTGACAGATGGGGGCTGCCAGATGCTGGCGTGTAGACGTTGGGAGAGGGAAAGGGAGAATGAGCGCCTTTGTCGGGTTTTTGTTATGACCGACCATTGGTGTGATGGCGTGCTGCTCTGGCAGACATTTTTTGTGCCGTGTTCGCCTCCCTTTCGATGTCTCGATGGCTCATCCTGCTGTCTTACCATACCTTCATCCCTCGCCCCCGCCCTCTTCCGACGGACCGAGCCACTAGCGGTAGCAATACGCCAATCCGTCGAGACACTCACGTGTCGGTGGCCCGGTAGTCGCGGCCTGATTGTTGGCGTGATTGTTGTAATGTTGTTGGTTGTGCTAAAGTGGCCAGAGGCAGCTTGAGCATCAGCAGTCAAGTGCATTGATCGAATCAATCCATCCAGAGAGAACAGATGCCGGTGTGGGCAGAGAGACAGACCGCCGGGTTCCCTATCTGTTGTGTGAATTGAATGAGTCAGACGTCTCTAAGATTGAGGTGATGTCGTTCACGCTGAGGGGCGTCAACTGATCCTGCGCTCGTCGATTTACTAGTGCTTCGGCTGGCGTATGGCCAACTTGAGGTTCATCCACACACACACATTGACGCCATGGCACACACATCAAAAGAAATGCAGTCAATGAAGTCGGATCAAGTCAAATCCACGCTCACACCATCTCGGTCTGTCTGTCAGTGTTAAGGCTCGCCGAGGGGCTACTTCGATTCTCCCACCGTGTGTGTGCCTTGCCTAGCCTTCTGTCCGCCCATCTCCCCTCGCTGCTGTCTGTTCTCGATCTCTCCGACTGAAATATCGCCGGTCTGGTCGGCCAATGCACATGAGTGGGGGCAGTGGGAGAGGGGAGCAATGGGAGGGGAGGGGACAGCACCACGACAGACAGGGACAAGCGAGCCAGCCAGGCAGGTGTTAGCAAAAAGTGGACATAAGGAAGCAGACCATCTATCCATCCATCCATCAGCCAGTACCACAGCAGAGAGCACATCACACGGCCGGAGAGGAGGTCCCCACCGGCCCCCCTCTATCTACCGGTAACCCACACTGTACGAGATCCGTCCAGAGAGAACCTGTCGGGCGGATCGCTTCGATTTCAGCACCACTGCCCGGCCTGACACACACATGGATGGACAGACAAAGACACCATTGGTTTGTCGTGTACTCGTCTTCTCCTCGTCTCAGTCGTGTTTGATGCACACATACCTCAGCTGTCTATTGGTCGAAGACCACGGCTGAGATGACGGCCCCCAGCACCACACGCGCCAGCCGATAAGTCACTGGGAAGCGGTCCTTGAAGGCGCCACCCACGCCAGACACATTCGGCTCGGTCGTCCTGACACAAACAGCGACTGCAAATGGATGACAGCAGAGGACAGAGATGAGAGTGGCGCATTTCCTCCCCCTCGCTGTGCCGGACTGGGCTGAGCAGTGTTGTGCAGCACATCCTGGATGTAGATCCATGCGACGAAGGGATGGCTGGCGTTGGTCAGGACGAGATAACGACGGTCAGCGAAAATGGCAGCAAAGCGGAATGATGCGGTTGTGGTGCATCCCTCCACTGGTGTGTGAGGGGACTGTGTCATGATGCTGTGCAGCCGGCTGTTGTCGACATGCCTGATACACATAACACATACTCGTGTGTCGTCACAATGCCCACACAGAGTGATGCCCCGCCTCACCTGTCGACTATACGGTAGTGAGTGGTGACGGTGGGGTGAGTCCCGTTGAAGTGGTCGATGATGATCTTCTTGACCATCGATGACACAGACGAGTAGACCCGAGCCTCCCCAATCAGCGACTGCCAGCCCGTGGACGAGGAATATGTGATCCTGCTGCGGACTGGTGGGTCATGTTGCTGTCGGTGCTGTTGGTAGAGGTGGTTGAGAGGGAGGGGCGGGTTGATGTTGATCTCGTAGCCGTTCTGGTCCTTGATGGCCCGAAGTGTGTTGCCGCGCAAGAACAGTTGGAAGGCCACGCCGCTGCCGAAGTGGATGTGGGGGCCGACCATCTTCAGCTGAGCCAACACACGGAGAGCGGCCAAATACGCCTACACACACACCACATCAACACACCACACACCGAATGAGAGCCATCCCTTCTCCCTCCCTCCCTCGGTTGGCTTACCGTCTTGTTTGCGTATCGGTGCAGATCGGCCGAAGTGAGCCTCACAGGCAGCTGGTAGTTGCCGCACTGCCCCGCCAGCTCGACCGCCTCGCTCATCTCACTCCAGCCGCCCGCCTCCGTCACACACAGCGCCGCCAGCAGGTCACCCACACCCATCTGCTGGTCGGCGAATGTCAGCAGCTGCTGTCCGTTGGCCGTCCGCCGCAGCCCCGCCTGTGTGCTGAGCGAATGGCTGAGCCGCTGTCGCAGCTGAGGTGCTCCGAAGAGGCCTCTGGCCCAGCTGCAGGTCTTCCTCAGACGCAGCACATCCCGCAGCAGAAAATCGCTGCCGCGGTGGGCGAGGACGTACCACACGGGGTGCTGCTGCTGCTGCTGCTGGTGGGGGTGCTGCATGTTGAAAGCCGTCAGATCTGCCGACAGTGAGGTGGCACCTCCCTGTTGCTGCTGTGACTCTGCCGCAGCACCACCCGCACCAATCGAGCCACCTGAAGGCACCACACAACACACAGCACAGGAGGGTCATGACGATATGCAGTCCATCGACAGCAGCCGATGCTTTGCGTACCTCCGCTATGCCCACCACCAGCAGCAGGGCTGATGTCTACGCGTCTACGCTTCTTGGCGCCGCCGTCATCATCAGGCACCTGACCAGCGATTGACACACACCAATGGGTTTGTGTGTCTGTCTGTGTGGGTGGGTCTGTGACTTGTGCGCACCGCTTCGCTATGCTGTTTGTTGCTGTCGGTCTCTTCTTGGTGCCCACGTCTCGAGGGAGCCGGGGCGTCGTGGCTACTGTCCATCTGACCAACACGGTCAACCACCTGCACCAAGGAAGCAGCCACACAGCGAGATGGGGTGCAGTCATCAGTGTGCCTGTGCTCTCAGTCTGCCGACTCACTGCTCAGTGTGTGAGTTGTGTTGTCAGCCATCGCCATCAAGAAGCAGCCCGACTCAGTGCTGCCCGCCGCAGCCGACCTCTCACTCAGCCCGTCACCGTCAGATCTGACAGCCCACACACCGCACAGCCACGCAGGGAGGGAAGGGAATGTGTTGCCTGTCGTTTCCATCTGTCATGCATCATCTGTCTGCCTGCCTGCCTCCCTCAGTTGGCCTCGCTGATGGGAAGGCGTAGCGCACCGGCTTACTGAGTGAATGTGTGGAGAGGTTTTTTGGTCTCACCGATGATGGTGATGAGAGTGTGGAGGCATCAGACAATCTGTTCGCCAGATTAATGCGAGCTTCGGCGAGAATACTCGCCCCCGCCAGCTTCCCCCGTAGGCCGATGACTTCGCCTACCCGGGAAGTACATACGAAGCTTCGTGCTATCAACCGCTGCTTCGATCTTGTGGGTGCGTTTCTTTGTTGCAAAGAAGCCATCGCTTTCTTCACTCAATAGAGTCTGAGTGAGGCAATGAGTGCCAGAGTTGGTCCAAATGCATCCATCCATCAAATCAGTCGACCAACCAGTCAGTCAGTCAGCCAAACCCCACGCCGGCGCCAGTCAGTCAATTGATATCTCTCGTTATATATAGTGAGTGACACGCGCACACGTCTGCGCACCGCAATTAACCCGCGCCCATCCGATCCGTACAAATCACTCTCTCCTCGATCGATCAGACTTACTTACATACATACATACATACATACATACATACACGTACACAACATGGATCGGGGACACATACACATACACATACAGATACGTATACAAATGCAATGATGCAGATCGATCCGATCGATCGGTATCCATCCGATCCGACGTCCATCCGCCCACCTATCTCTGACCACCATCCGCCTGTCTGCCCGTCTATCGATATCTGCCTGACAGTGACTGACTGCACCGGGCCCTCTACCTGCTTTCGGGCGTGCGTGAGTGAATTGTGTGTGTCCGTGGGTGACGTGAAAGCGCTGGCTGGCTTCCAGGCATCGCTGCCTACTGTATTGTACGAGAACAAACGCCGCATCAAGGGTGCGGGCGTCAAAAGAGACACACAGGCAGGCAGATGGAGACCCTTGTGTGCACAGCTCATATGTGTGTGTTGGTGGTGCGTTGTGGTTCGTGTGATCACCTAAGCCCATTCGTTCGCAACGACAGCCAGGCATTCAGCAACACGAACACATACATCCGTCCATCAGACGCCAATGTGCACAACGCGCGCAACGGACACGCACACGCTTCCTCTCACTCACTGCAAGCAAAGACATGCAGACGTCTGTCTAGCACCACACGGCACACGAAAGCGAGTGCCCCACCCCCCGCGCGCCCCTCTATCTACCACCCACAGATTCATGCAGCGACTGTACAAGAGTGAATCTGTCGGGCGGATCGCTCCAAGGCCAACACCGCCGCCCAGCCTGACACACACATGGATAGAACGGACAGCATTGGTACCTCGTCCGGGCATCATCTGCTCGTCTCAATCGTGTTTGATGCAGACATACCTCAGGTGTCTATTGGCCGAAGATCCTGGCTGAGATGACGGCCCCCAGCACCGTACGCGCCAGCCGAGTGGTCACTGGGAAGCGGTCCTTGGAAGGCGCCACCCACACCAGACACAGCCGACTCGGTCGTGTAGATGTACACATCCACTGCAAACGAATGACAGCAGAGGACCGAGATGAGAGTGAGTGTTGTATGTATGATTATTCGCTTGTGCGCCCTCTCCCTCGCTGTGCCGTGCTGGGCTGACCGACATTATTGATGTGCAGATCCTAGACGATGATCCATGCGACGAACGAGTGGCTGGCGTCGGTCAGGACGAGACGACGGTAAGTGGAGCGGGTCGTGGAGCGGTACGATGCTGTGGTGGTGCATCCCTCTACTAGTGTGTGGGATGACTGTGTCAGTAGAGTGTCCATCCAGCTGTTGTCAGCATGCCTGACACACACACACAACATACACTTGTATGTGATGTGACCATTCCAACACAAGAGTGATGCCCGGCCTCACCTGTCGATAGAATGGCTGTTCGTGGTGTTGGCCTGGTGAGTCCCCTTGAAGTGGCGGATGACGATGCTCTTAACACACGACGACACTGACGGGTAGTGACCACTATGCGGCGACTGCCAGCCCCCGGGCGACAGCGGGGAATAGTTGATGCCGCAGCGGACTGGCGGGTCATGCTGCTGTCGGTGCTGCTGGTAGAGGTGGTTGGGAGGGAGAGGCGGGTCGATGTTGATCTCGTAGCCATTCTGGTCCTTGATGGCCCGAAGTGTGTTGCCGCGCAAGAACAGCTGAAAGGCCACGCCGCTGCCGAAGTGGATGTGGGGGCCGACCATCCTGAGCTGAGCCAACACACGGAGAGCGGCCAAATACGCCTGCACACACAACACATCAACACACCACACACCGAGTGAGAGCCATCCTCGCTCCCTAACTCGGTTGGCTTACCGTCTTGTTTGGGTATTGGTGCAGATCGCCCGCAGTGAGCCTCACAGGTAGCTGGCAGTTGCCGCACTGCCCCGCCAGCTTGACCGCCTCGCTCATCTCACTCCAGCCGCCCGCCTCCGTCACACACAGCGCCGCCAGCAGGTCACCCTCGCCCATCTGCTGGTCGTCGAATGTCAGCAGCTGCTGTCCGTTGGCCGTCCGCCGCAGCCCCGTCTGTGTGCTGAGCGAGTGGCTGAGCCGCTGCCACAGCTGAGGTGCTCCGAAGAGGCCTCTGGCCCAGTTGCAGGTCGTCCTCAGACGCAGCACATCCCGCAGCAGAAAATCGCTGCCGCGGTGGGCGCAGACGTACCACACGGGGTGCTGCTGCTGCTGCTGCTGCTGGGGCTGCTGCTGCTGCTGCTGCTGGTGGGGGTGCTGCATGGGGGCCGTCAGACCTGCCGACAGTGAGCTGGCACCTCCCTGTTGCTGCTGTGTCGCTGCCGCAGCACCACTCGCACCAATCGAGCCACCTGAAGGCACCACACAGCACAGGAGGGCCATGACGATATGTCAGTTCACCAACGGCAGCCGACGCTTTGCGTACCTCCACTGTGTCCACCAGCAGCAGCAGTATAGCAGCAGTATGGCTGATGTCTACGCGTCTACGCTTCTTGGCGCCGCTGTCATCAGCAGGCACCTGACCAGCGACACACATCAATGGGTTCGTGTGTCTGTGTGGGTCTCTGACTTGTGCGCACCGCTTCGCTATGCTGTTTGTTGCTGTCGGCCTCTTCTTGGCGCCCACCTCTGGAGGGAGCCGGGGCGTCGTGGCTACTGTCCATCTGACCAACACGGTCAACCACCTGCACCAAGGAAGCAGCCACACAGCGAGATGGGATGCAGTCATCAGTATGCCTGTGCTCTCAGTCTGCCGACTCACTGCTCAGTGTGTGAGCTTTGGCGTCAGCCATCAAGAAGATCATTTCTGACACCAGCCCGGCTGACGTCCAGAACCTCTCACTCAGCCCGGCACCGTTGTCAGATCTGACAGCCCACACACTGCACAGCCACACAGGGAGGGAAGGGAATGTGTTGCCTGTCGTTTCTATCTCTCATGCATCATCTCCCTTTCTGCCTGCCTCCCTCAGTTGGCCTCGCTGATGGGAAGGCTTAGCGCACCGGCTCACTGAGTGAATGGGCCGAGAAGTCTTTTGGTGTCACCAATGGTGACGAGAGGAGGTGTGGAGGCATCAGACGAGCCTCTCATCGAAGATACGGAACGAGATTCTCATTCAAAATATGCGAGCTTCGGCGAGGAGGCCTGACGTTTGAGCAGGGTCAGTGCGGTGAAGGGCGCGCCTTACGGCTCAGACCGGTTATCTGAGTGGCGGAGGAGTTCGTGTCGTGATCCGAATTGTCCCGAGTTCGAACCCAACGCAGCTACTGAAAGCGTCACTCGAGTCAATGCCGCCACAGGGTCGGGGCCGAGTTGAGTGTTTGAGGATGGTACGGAAGGGGTTGCGAGGGGAGTTCAGCCACTTGCTTATGCCAACTGGGTGAGAGCCAGAAGGTGCAAATGTGAGGAGGGCTGACGTTTGAGCAGGGTGAGTGTGGTGAAAGGTGTGCCTTAGGGCTCAGACCGGTTATTTGAGTGGCGGAGGAGTTCGTGACATGATCCGAATTGTCCCGAGTTCGAATTCCGAGTAAGGGGCACCCACTGCGTGGGCACCCCGGGCCGCGAATTGGGCGGGGGTCGAAAAAAGCGTGCGAAGTGGTGGTTCAATTATGCGTCACAGAGACAGCACAAGTGTTGGCGAGAAGCACACCAACGCATGCAACAATGGCGAGAGTCTCAAAAACATGCAGATCTCGAAGACAGACGTGGCCATAACATGCAGGTACTCAGAGGGCTGCACCAAGAACACAAGACACCCCCCATGTTGCCGCTCCTGCTGCGCCCGTTTGAAGGCAGCAGGAGCCCGTTTGAAGCCGTGCTTCGTCAAGTATATCAATGCATCGCTGGATACAATTGGTTGTGCCTGTTGAAGGGGCTATCGAAGACTGCCCTCGATGACTGTCAATCGGCTTGTCAATCAAATGGGAGCCGCCAGGATCAGCCTAACAATGACCTGCGCCAGCAACGCAACAAGCTAAGTGAAATTGGCCACAGCCGCGGCACGTCAGATGAAGCAAGCCTCCTGAGTAGCTTCTCTTCGAGTGGAATGTCTTCACACACGGTGGTCACTCGATGGATGCTGCCAGCCTCACTCGACAATTGGTTGTGCCTCTTGAAGGGGCTATCGAAGACTGCCCTCGATGACTGTCAATCGGCTTGTCAATCAAATGGGAGCCGCCAGGATCAGCCTAACAATGACCTGCACCAGCAACGCAACAAGCTAAGTGAAATTGGCCACAGCCTCGGCACGTCAGATGAAGCAAGCCTCCTGAGTAGCTTCTCTTCGAGTCGAATCTCTTCACACACGGTGGTCACTC